AATGAGTGTATATTTTCAAACACAGATACTAACTAATTCTAAAATTGCGTTTTGTTTAGAAAAAGAAAGAAAGTAACTTTTGCGTGTACACTTCCCCTTTAAGGGTTATCATGTTATCATTATAAGGACTAGTGGACCAAAACTGTAAGTTTCTATCGATGGTTTAACGCCGCAATATTCCAGCTGTACAAGGGCAGTCTGTAAACCTGAACCAGACAAACTGGTGATTGATATTGTGAACCTCGATCTATGCAATTGGGGGTCGGGGTGAGGTAAACCTGAACCAGCCAAACCGGTGATTGATATTGTGAACCTCGATCTATGCAATTGGGGGTCGGGGTGAGGTGAAATGGGGTTTGACGTCCCATTCAAGATTATTGCACTTATATATCGAACTACATATGTACGTGTGCGTGTGTGCGTGTGTGCGTGTGTGCGTATGTGTGTGCGTCTGCGCTCGTGCTTGTGCGTGGCAGCTTGTACCATTCCAGACTAATGCCGGTTTTATAGTGCTAGCCCACTGAGATACCATGCCGCAATTTAACATGAATACCCCACTCTGACACTGTATACCGACTCCGAGCCCACCAGACCTTGTTTTAGCCCTTTAAGGCCGAGTACCATACAGGGTAACAACAAGGACCATCTTTCACCTCTTTTGGTATGGCGCGACCCAGGGATCGAACCTTGGACCTTCCGGGTGGATGCTCTATCCACTATTTGTCTGATTGTTGCTTAATGCTGCACTGAGCAATAATCCAGCGATATGACCGCGGTCTCTAAATAATCAAATGCGGGCCAATCCAGTGATTGATATCATGAGCATCAATCTACGCAAAAGGGATACGATGACATGCATCAACCAAGTCAGCGAGCCTGATCACCCGATCCCATTAGTCGCCTCTTACCTCTATCCACTAGACCATGGAGGCAGTCAACTGAGTGAGTGAGTGAGTGAGTGAGTGAGTGAGTGAGCTTGACACCAAGGACCATCCAGAGATGAAAACCAGAACAAACAAAAGCAAACTACATGTTAGAAAATATGACAATTTTATTTCTGTTTTTTCTGTGTATTTTGAGCACTTTGATGAAACACTCAGCTGTACAATGTACTCGTCATGCCACACTTCTGAAGGTCAACAGAAACATAGATATGTAGACGCGAGCTCAAACAAATGGAGACCGAGCCAGAAACTTCAGCCATCCTTGTAAACACAACAAAACGTAAACCTGAGGCCTGATTTTATAGGCTATGAAATCCTGCCACTGTGGATTATGCTTACATTGTCCGGAATGTCAGGCCTCAGCTGCTATAGTGAGTGAGTGAGTGAGGGAGTTTGGTTTTACGCCGCTTTTAGCAATATTCCAGCAATATCACGGCGGGGGACACCAGAAATGGGCTTCACACATTGTACCCATGTCGGGAATCAAACCCGGGTCTTCGGCGTGACGAGCGAACGCTTTAACCACTAGGCTACCCGACCGCCCCTCTCAGCTGCTATAAGGCCTTGCACACTATGATAACTGGATGTATTAACAGGGAAGGACATTAGTTGTCAAGTGCAGGTCTGAAGTTTCAGGCTGGTGTGGCCTATTGACAGCATACACTGTGCAGGAACAACAGGCTTGGCGTGGACCACAGAATATCTAACAAAGAACATGTAAGTCGCCTAACAAGGTCACACTTCAAGATCACAGTTTGGAGGCTACCTACTTCATGGAAAAAGGAAAAAATCTAAACGTTTCAAGAATAAGTTAAGTACTGGTTGGCTAACAGATAACTCTGTTTAGAAATAACTTATCTTCTGTCTTCAATGTATCTTAATCTATGGAAACTTCATTTGTTGAACCTGTGAGAAAGTATTTATTCAAATTTTGTATTGACATACATATTCAGAGTAAATAGGAGTTCAAAATAGTCAAAATATCAGCACACAAATACTTTGAAAATCCAACAGTCTACTTTCTTGTAGAATTTAATCAGTCGGGAAAAAATATATATTAATGATGGATTTATCTTGGATTCAAAACTAATTGCACCTGACAGGCAATTTTGGTAAAAACTCTTTATATTCAAAATTTGGATTCTGTTTAAGGTCTCATTTTCTAAAAAATAAAATCAGAGGGATTTTAACATTGTATTATGGGATTGTACTCAATACAATAATACAAAACTGAGCATGAAAACCTCTTCCTCTTAATTAGTTCTGTTATCTGTGAAATTCACTTTACCTCTACAAAGCCATAACATTAGTTATCAGTTATTTGATAGATTCGGAAATTCAGAACCAGTAATATCAAATACATAATAGAGATCTTTGCTAGATTGTATAACACACCAAATACATCCAGTAAATCAAATGAAATATGTGATGAAAACATTAATCACATATTAAGAGAAAGTGCAAAAATATTCTGAAACATTTTAGTGTTAAAATTGTTGATTGTTTACAATGCTGTCTATCATCTCCATGAAGGTGAATATTATAAGCCCTGAGCTGCAGGACAAGTTCCATGGTGTGTGTCCCATACAGCATCTTCCCGAGGCAAGAGAGTAAACTGACTATACAAGTCCACCCTTGCCGAACTAGGCTGGTATTATGGAGTTACATTTTGGCTGGACTAACGAGTCTATGCATAGTCCAATCAAAATCGCGCACCGAAATCGAAATCCGGTTCGTAAACTGTCGTGCAGATTTCGGTCGATTGCAGGATTTGCAAAGCATGTGCACCGCCAACTCGTTGTCAGCAGATATTTTCCAAATCTTTTCATGTTTATAATCAAGGTGCTCACGTGATTTGATGCATTTCGCGATGTAAGACCCGTTTTATCACCATATAGAACTTGATTATCGATCAGATCGTCCTGACTGGGTGCCACCATTTTGTGTGAAGCAAACGCAAGTGATACGAGAGGTGGAATCTGATTGGTCCTTAGGAGAGGTTTAGAAGGGACATAACTGGTAATAGCCACTGGTGGCGCTACGATCGAGCCCAGGAATTCCAGCCTAGTTCGGCAAGGGTGGAAACTCGAGTTTTAAAGTCAGTTAACTCCCTTGCCTCGGGAAGATGCCCGTACAGCTGATCATAGTCTTCAGCAACATTTCAAATCTACATTTAAACTAGAGGCTAATATAGAATGTCACGTATTTACCCAAGGCCCAAAATGGGCAATGTTACAGACAGAAGTTCAGTTCTTCAATAAGTGAACCTATGCCATCTTCCCGAGGCAAAGGAACTTAGTGACTTAATAGTCAGTTAACTCCCTTGCCTCTGGAAGAGTGAGTGAGTATGGTTTTACGCCGCTTTTAGCAATATTCCAGCAATATCATGGCGGGGGACACCAGAAATGGGCTTCACACATTGTACCCATGTCGGGAATCGAACCCGGGTCTTCGGCGTGACGAGCGAACGCTTTAACCACGAGGCTACCCGTCCGCCCCCTGAGGCAAAGGAACTTAGTGACTTAATAGTCAGTTAACTCCCTTGCCTCTGGAAGATGACTTGTGCGTTCACACGAAAGACTTGGTTCAATATGTTCCTGTTCCATGGTTGAATATGAGGCTGTTTTACAGGTGTGACAAGGGTAGAATTGTTGCTACAAAACAATATCCATAAACATAACTAGCATATGGTATTAAAGCTTCAACACACTTTGTGCTCACTTTTAATGGAATGTACTGAATCTAAACTAGATCTGGATTGAAATGAACACATTTTCTTATGACTGGTTAAAACATATAGACATAAAAGAAAAACAAGATCAGGTCTGAGGCCCAAATAAAATAATTTTAAAACACTTATTTCTTTAATAAGGTGTTCATCAAATCAGTAGACAGGTCTTGCTGAGAGAAAACAAACTACCGTATTGGACGTAATAAGCGCCCAGGGCGCTCTCAAAATTAGAAATAGGGGGCTCTTATTAGAATATTATTTTGGTGAGAAAAAAAACAGTTGAAAGATATATTTCGTGGTTTATGCTGACAGCCTGAAATGTTTATGTACGACACATATATTTTTCTAGAATTTAATTGCCCATACTTAAGGGTCCATATAACACACGAGTGCGTATTGTACGTGATTAAATAAGTCTTGTGAACATTGATCAATCGGAAGGGGTGGTAATTAGGATTGTTCACTAGCCAATATATTAGCAAATACCGCCGTGGGCGCTTATTACGTCGAATACGGTTTCTTAAATTGATGGTCAGTATCACCTATTGAAGCCTGAAGGGTTAATGTAGTGAGGGAGTATGTGTTAATACGATATCAGCTGTATCCTTGCATTATTGTTGGAAAAAAGTCATAGTTGGCGCATATAGAACATAAGGATCCTTCTACAACTCTGTGGGCGGTCGGGTAGCCTAGTGGTTAAAGCGTTAGCTCGTCACGCCGAAGACCCGGGTTCGATTCCCGACATGGGTACAATGTGTGAAGCCCATTTCTGGTGTTCCCCGCTGTGATATTGCTGGAATATTGCTAAAAGCGGCGTAAAACCATACTCACTCACTCACTCTACAACTCTGGGAATCTAATCGATGGATTCTAAAGGACATGCCTTCAACCAAGTGTAGGAAACCCTTCCTGTAATGTTTGTTGTGTAACGCCGCACTCAGCAATATTCCAGCTATGTGACGGCGGTCTGTAAATAATAATAGCCAGTGGTTGGGTTGTCAATGTGACTGTAGACCTTGTCTCTCCTGCGCCATTTAACACTCCTGAGACAAGCACATATTCTTCCTTCTTGTTTTCATAGCATACATGATTCACATTTCTTAGAGTGAGTGAGTTGGGGTTAACTCCGCTTTTAACAGTATTCCAGTTATTTCACGGCGTGTCAGCTTAATGTGGGAGTCATGCAGGTCTCAGACGTTTACCACTTCGGTGAAACCCACAAGCACGGGTATGGTGCTGACAAACCTAGAAACATAATCAGGGCGAACCGGGATTCGAACCCACAATCTAAGTTTCTGGCGTGCCCAAGGGACGCAACTCTGCACAGAAATTGACAGATGACATTGTAGGCAAGCTTGACAAAGGTATAAGGATCTAAACAGGAAATGTTGCCATTACAGTAAATTAAAGAAGTTGTTATCCATAAATTGTCTCTACTTTGTGATACATAAGGAAGAGAATACTGTGTGCCTCATAATACAGAAGTTGACATCCATAAATTATCTTCTTTGTGTGTATCACACTTCTGAATGCCTTTCAAAAACTTGATTTGTGATACATGTTCCAGAGTGAGTGAGTGGGGGACACCAGAAATGGTCTTCACACAAAGTATCCACGTCGGGAATCGAACCCGGGTCTTCGGCATGACGAGCGAACGCTTTAACCACTAGGCTACCTGACCGCCCCACATGTATGAGATACTAAATCAAGCATTACCGGTAATCTGATGATATGGAAAACTGTTCAAGACAGTTGTGAACAACACCAATTTGGCGTTATAATCAGTTATATGCAGCCATTAAAAATAGCCAGAGTTGAAGGATTGTCCTCAAGTCCCCTGTTCTCTTTGATTAAAAGACAAGCAATAACTGAAAATAATTCTGCACATAAATACAGAGAAGCTCTTCAGCTACATAATAAAAGACGAAATCAAATATGTTTTTCATGGAAATAATTCTGAAGAATTTAACAAACATGAAATTCATAAAATCACATGATTATTCCTATGGTCATTCCAAAACACCATCCTCTCCACTCAGGGGTTTATTATTCCAGCCTTGTAACTGGGTTAGTCCTCTACATCCTCTCTCACACATCCCTAGTCTAATGTCTCTTCTGGATTATACATAACTACAACTGTAGAAATAAATACACATTAGCTCACAGCTGGGAGACATTCTGCTCAAAATATGTCAAGCATAACGCCTATTTAACACTGTTTTGTTTGTTTGTTTAATGCCACTCGGAAATAATTCATCGATATGATAGTGGTGAACATTGCACTGAAGTTACAAATTTGAGGAAATACTAAATCTTTTAATCAAAATATGTAAAACCAAAACCTGACCTTACAATAAGGTGTATGTAGTACAGGACGTTACCATACATATATTGGTTTAAGCAAGTTAAGGATCAATGCTACTGTTATTTAAAAAATCAACTAAATGCAGGCAATAAGATGTGATCATCATCAACTGGCTGAATGATACACTAAGCTATTTTTTTCTAAACTGTTTCTCAATATGTCTTTGTACATGTTACAAAAAAAGGTGTGAAAAAATCAATAACCACCTTGTCCAACTTGTTACGTGAGATTGCTGGACAAAAAATAAAACAGCTTCAGTTGTCCGCAGGCAACCTTAGATTGTAGCAGGCCTTTGGTCAATCTTGATAAAATATTTGTAAAAGTACTAAATATAGTTTCGTGTAAACAGATTATTTTGTACTTTTTAGTTCCGATTTTGATCATGCCTCAGGACAGGCCTATAGATGAATTCAGACAAGAAAACAGATTAATCATTGTCAAAACAAAATCCACCTGCAGTAAAAGGCCAAATTTGTGATAAAAAACATCATTTTTGGTATAAAAAAAAATGAACAAGTAGACTTTGTCTCCGGACAAATGAAGTTTTACTATGGACGTGTATATGGACAAGATAAACAATGTGTTATTTCCACAGTCCAGACGTATCTACGCCGTATGTCAAAGTAAGTGGATGCATGTATATACACATCTCCCAGCTGTAAGACTGACAACACAGAGATCCTAGAAACAAAACAACCTCTGGCAGTGTTCAGCTCATGGACACATGCATGACCTCGTCACGGGTGCTACTGCTGATGTATCAGTAGAGTGTGGTAATCTATAATGAGATGTATAGTGTATACCATTCAAAGCCAACTTCAAAATTTACACTGTCTCTCATTCATTTCAATTATGAAAGGTTCCAAATTAGCACAAAGCAATCAGCAGATCCCCCAGTAATAACCCTCATATCCTTCCCTCTCTGTTCATAATGATACTCTTTGGTTGTGTGCTGTACTTTGATATTGACAGCCCAACTCCATGCATCCATTCCATCATTGGCTGATTTTGCGACAAGAAAATCTGTACTTAGCATTTCATTGGCTGTTTTTTCTACAAAGAGATCTGAGCTAAGCTTTTCATTGGCTGATTTTCTTTCAACAAAATCTATGCTTAGCATTCATTGGCTAATGTTCCAGAAGAAAATCTGTGCAAAGCTTTTCATTGGCTGATTTTATTACATGAAAATCTATGCTTAGCATTTCATTGGCTGATGATGTTCCAGAAGAAAATCCGGAAAATTACCTGCATACAACACAGAACTTTATTGAGATACGTTCTTAAATAAAGCATTAAACATAATTCAAAGTCAACAGTCAAATAAAACTTGCCAAAAGGTGTGACCATCAAAACACCAAGCAGACACATGAACCTGCTGTTATTCAAGTGCAACATGTCTGGCATTTCTTTTGACTTCTAAAACAGAAATATAAAAAGCACTTATGAAATAAAAAAAGAGATGGGTTGGTGATAATATTGCAAGGTTTATGTCGATTGAGATGTGGAGTGATGAGACCACTGGATTTCTCGGTACAGATTATGCCTTGAAGATGCATGTTTGGCTGCGACACGACCGTCCCTGATAACTACAGTGCTGACTTTGGTCAGTTCATGAGATTCGGAGCAAGACTGACTTCATGTGTCAATCAAAAATACTTATTCCTCACATTAAACTTACAGAGTAAAAGTTACAATTAATGTAAGGCTTGATTGAATATAATATACACTGTAAACACACATCTCATTCTCACAGTACCTTCAGTATCTATACCTAACGACCACAAATGTTTCCATAGGGCGCAAAACCCAAATATTGTAAACTGCCCAGCCCAGCAAAACCCAAATATTGTACACTGCCCAGCCAAATGAGAATGCAATTTGAATTTACCAGGGTACTAATTGAATTTGTTAGACATAAAGTCTTCATTTGGGTCTGAAAATCATAAAACATTTGCCAGTGTATGTTCTTAATCTCAATGCCAACTTTTAACATTGGAGTGAAGAAATAAAAGACAATGCTTTTTCCAACATTGATATAACCAACATCTCGAAGTCTCAGTCCATGTGGAAATACTGATGGTCCAAGATTATACAGTTTTAGTTCAGGGTTTTATAAGTTACCAAGGTCAACAAAGGTCAATCCAAGGTCAACACTCGTAAAATTTGTTTTGTTTGTTTGTTGATTAACGCCGCACTCAGCAATATCCCAGCTATATGATGGCGGTAACACTCGTAAAAATTACGTTGCAGAATGGGTTTGATAAAAAAAAGTCTGGTGTTGACTGTGTTACCAAGGTCACTCAAGGTCATCAGCCCCGTCCTACACAGTAGGCATGAGACGGAAACTCCCATTGTGATCAACAGCAATAGTAACACCAATAACACAACCCATGGCAGATACGTCAACGATGGTCCAAATATCGAAAACATTGTATCCAAATTTGTACTCTAAAACCAACCAGCAAATCAAACACTATCATTACCTCTTCAAATAAATTAAATAGTTTAACAAATATATTACACTAACCTTCACATAAACACACAACACAAGTTGGATACACTCAGTCGGACATATATATATATTCTACCCACCTTCTGTTGGGAAAGTCCCAGCGTGGTACAACAACTTATTACTACTAATATGTATATGTAAATAGTAAACAGCTCAGTCTCCTTATCAAAAGCTGAGTAGCATAGTGGGGACATCTGATATGATATAAAGTTGATCTTTGTAAAAAATCTTTGATATGTGAAGTCGATTGATGTGGGGATGGGGGATGCAGGACCAACATGTACATGGCAATTGTGAAAGTCGTACATCATGGGAGAAATCGGACATTCAGGCAAATAGTCATGTCAAACGTACAACCTTGTCATTCAGGATACGCTGTACATCTGCAGTCATGCTGGTTTAAAAAATAATACCATTCACTCTGTGTATAAACGCTTCTGTACGCCCAGTGATATACTACAAGTAATAATATCACATCTCACATACAAATGTGATAACATGTCTAATATCAACAACATACTTCAGAAACAAACAAGTCTACAAAAACAGCTGTGTATTTGGTATCTTAAGGAATTATGACAGTTTGTTAACAATCGATAAAAATGACAATTTTTGAAAATGTAAAACGTCTTACATTACATCATATTGAAGTTTAATTAATTATTCCTATTAAATGCTAGAAATTACAAATATATGCGACATTCCATTTTGATCTACATAATTTGATGCTCTGCATAGGTGAATTCGTCACTAAAACCGACTACTTTCAGAAAGTACATCTTAACCAAACAGCAATACTCATCGCCATGGTAATCAAGCTATAAATGTGTTATGTACAGCACTAACAGATAGGCTTCCATTTAAAAACAATGGAAGATTGTAACTAAACCACACAGATCACACTTTGTATCCATGGCAATAAACGTCAATAAAGCATTTTCTCAATACAAGACATTTAAGTATATTGAGATATATACATCATTAGTATTATATAAACCTGGCACTCTCACAATCGATTGGATGAATTCATTGCAGAATGCGGACATATGTAAACACAACAAGGTTAATATTGCACACATCCTCAGGGGGGCCACTGTTGCCTACGTTTCACCAATGTATTCATTTGGCATAGCTTTTACGTCTAATTTCTAAATAAAAACAAAACTCAGTATTCAGGGGTGTTCAATTAATATGCCTGACCTGTGAAAATAAAGTGCTGAGTAAGTGGGAAAATATTATTTAGTTGCCCTCAGGTGAGTATTAAAATTGGTGGGATTAACTTTGAAACTTAGAAGATGCATCGTGTGTTTGTCAACTGCAGATGAAGTACCTGACTCGTCATTTATCTATTCTGCACATCATCCGTTAGCTGTTGCTTCAGTTTATGAAGTTTTGTTGATAAATCAAAGTTTTCTTCTTTTCTCTGATATAGCAGGGCCAGCTGAAAATCAGCCTGGGCAGGGAGAATATTTTAAGTTTACTTAACAATTTTGGTATTTGAACACCCCTGGTTCTATTTGAACAATACTGTGTACGTTAGAAATAAGTTTGAGGTAAAACTTTGTCCTTATATATAACTCAATAAACAATTTAACAGATTTAGAATTTTTTTTTGAAATACATCATCTTTCTTAATCCAAAATATACATGATTCTTATGTTCAAAACCTTCAATATTTTTCATGAAATTAAATTTGAAAAAGAAACAATTTTTGTAACAAGTATACATGACATATCTGGGATTATTAGTGTATCTTTTACCCAAGTTATTTAACCCTTATATTCCCATCATTCCTATTTAGCAAACTGTATGTAAGGTTGGTAAGTCCCCAACTTCTGATAGGGTTAATTCTAGTCCTGCATGATACATCATAATGTCAGGCCAGACTTGTTAAAACTTACTTTACAAATCAGCCTTTACAAATTATTTACAATACTTTTATCAAAACCTGTTGAAAATATGTCTTAAAAAATTCAAAACTCAATGAATTCTGACAGATCATGTGAGAAAATCGAAAACAGTAATTTGAACTTCAAAGTTTATATTTTTTTTCATTTTGAAGGTCCAAAAATGAGTAAACAACAAAGAAGTCAGACCTTACATACAGTATATGTAAATAGTATGATATGTCCCTATATCTCTACAGAAGATGGAGAATACCATCCAACATTGACCTGAGAAATCAACATCTGTGGAATTCAGCTGCTTTGGAGGTATTCCCGCAGGTCAATACAAGTTAACTTGTCAAGAATATTTCCATTAATCCCTTGTGGAATAAACTGTAAACAATGAAGGAATTGCTGTAGATATGAAGTGTCATTGACAATGTCTTTTTCCTATGGTGATATATTATGAAGAAGCACTTATACTTGTGACCTACATGAAGATGTTTGCGATACTGGTATCACAACATCTCGCTATCCATGGGGTAAAGTGGACGTGAGTTATCTCCCCTCGGTTCCACCGTGTCCTGCTGTGCCCGGTATTTCTTGAACTCCTCGCGAAGACGGTTGAATCGTTGTTCTGAGTCTGCATACCGACTTTGCCTCCTTGGTTTCGGGTACAAATGATTAAAACTTTCTGGCCCAAGGTGATCCGATTGGGGTCCGGACCCGCTCAGCTGGGAATAGTTTCTCAATGCATCAAGAATGTCACTTTCGAGTGCATTGATTGAATCAAACTCATAGTTCTCATCCCCTGAAGTGTCTCGCCGGTGACTTGAACTCCCTTCCAAGAAGGGAGATGAGTCCTGGCTCAAATCCTGATCCTGAGGAGTCAGCAGAGAGCTGTAGGAAATGCTGTTCTTCCCCAGGCGGTTGGGAAACGAGCCATTGCTGTGTGACGTGTTACGGCTCCCTATCCCACTGCTATGACTCACGGAATCAGGGCCTGTTTCGTCCCCTCGTGACCGATGAAAGTCTCGTGGACCGCCCCTCCCCGAACTGTTAGCACTACCACGACTGTCTCTTGGTGGTTTGAACGGGGCAATATCAGCGGTGTAATACGGCGGCCCCCTTCTGTCTGACTGAGGCAGAGGTGGTGGGTCGTACTGCGATGAGCTACGAGGGCGAGATCCTAACCCTGATGATACGTCAAGGAAACCATTATCATCATTCACATTTTCGGTGGAGAGCGGTCGTGGTGTCTGCCGTACACGGTCTACAGCTCCCTGCAGTTGCTCCCTCGTATACCCCGCCAGTCGCCCAACACTGCTTCCAGTGCTGCTGTTGTTCTCATCAGGTTTTGAGGGTTGGACCCTTGCAATTTGCTTATCTCGGTTCGGAGAATAATCTCTCGTTTCCTTTGGAATGTTGTATGAACCTTCTCTGCTTCTTGGTCGGTAAGAACCTTCTCGACTTCGAGAACGTGATGAATGTCGCGATGAATCATCCCAAGGTGAAGCATCGTGTGGGTATCGCGGAGCTCGGCGCTCCGGCTGGGATGACATACCTTTTACTGAAGGCTCATAGGGATCATAAGGGTATCTGATGGAGGAGGGGTCACGGGAGGGGTCGGAGAACGAGGAGGGCAGAACAGAACTGATGTCATTGAGTCCATAGGAAGGGCTGGGCTCTGTGAGATATGTTTGTTGCTGGGCTGCAGGTTTCATGGAACTGTGGCGAGGAAACCCAGGTCTACTGGTGGTAGTGGAAGGCACGTTGTTGCGATGCTGGATCGGGAACACGTCATCGTCATCTTCGAAACTCTGGAATGGACCATCGTAACCACCGGCAACGGGTGAGAGGGATGGGCCTCTCATCGGGTGACTACCTTTAGAATACAGATCGGGATAACTTGATGGATACTGAGGTGAATGGTATGAATCAGGATAGTGTCCAGATCTTTCACCAGGTGGAACTACTGACGATGGATACATATCATCTTGATATCTTCTCGGCCAATCAGGTTCATCCCTTGGTTGCCCAGGCGACATGCTGCGACTTCCTCTGCTTGGAGCTCGGGACAGAGACACTGTAGCCATTGGCATGGAATCATGGACACTTCTGCCACTAGAGGGAGCCACACGGTAGCCGGAATCTGGGTTGTACATGGGGTGATCCCGATCGTAAAGTCGACTGTCTCGAAGAACTGACTGATGCATGTCCCGTTTAGTGTCGAGGTCAGCGGTTTGGGGCAGGACAAACACCCCATGCTGACCGCCATTATGAGTCGTCAAAGCGTCTCCTCCTCTACCGTGCTGCCACCTATCCCATTTTGGCGGAGTTTGACTGAAACAAACAACAAACGCTCAAACAAACATCTCTGGAACCAACCACATAGCCAAACTTCATATAGAAAGAATCACATTAACATTGGGGATGAATTCACGTCAACAAATAACAAGTTATCCCATACTGGTACCGTCTGAATGATGTAAACACAACGAACGATATCGTCAAAACATTTCTAAGAATTGCTGGATAAATGACCAACCTAAATGACCAGAAAAGAAGCCCCACCCAGTGAGCACCAAACAGACTTACTATGGAAGCAGTTTAGCTATGGGATCTTGTAAGATTATTCCGAACACATTCAGTAAGTTTGAAAGACAAGCAGCCATCTAGGTTATGATGCTCCTGAGTTATCTTTGAAGGAGCTTGAGTAACATTGCCAACAACTTGTCATACATTGTAAATACAGATTGAAAGCCAGGCTGAATATCTTGACTAAACATAGCAGGTAGCAGAACACAACACGCTTGTAGGGCAGGTTCAATTTAGTTTGTCACAGGCAGCTGAATTAAACATACAGGAGTTCATTTATGGCAAAACTTCAGAACCATGGACTTACAGACGTAGCTACAGGCATTACCCAACAACAAGCAGGCAGCAGTGTTTGGACAAGTAGGACCATGTGACCCAGTGTTCGAAACAATTTTAAAACCCAGCAAGACAGTCGGGCAGGTGACCCATAAATGTTGCCTGCCCATCTTCAAAGTTACCTGCATTGAGACATCATAAACATTGGAAAATTGCGAAAAATAGGAGACAAATCGCGCCATGATTCAGTTGAAATAACGCAAACATTTACTTGAGAATCTACAAGGAGTAATAAAACTGAATATGTAAGTAGTCTTAAATTCGTCGGGCAGGTGGAGGAAAATTGAATGCAGCCTCACAGAAAAGTTACGGGCAGCAGGGGTCCTGTAAAGGTTATATTAGCATAGCTGTCCGGCTCTATCAAGTCATAAGGGGCGGTCGGGTAGCCTAGTGGTTAAAGCGTTGGCTCGTCACGCCGAAGACCCGGGTTCGATTCCCGACATGGGTACAATGTGTGAAGCCCATTTCTGGTGTCCCCCGCCGTGATATTGCTGGAATATTGCTAAAAGCGGCGTAAAACCATACTCACTCACTCACTCACTCACTATCAAGTCATGGACCCACTGGGGTCCTGTAAAGGTTATATAAACACAGCTGTCCAGCTCTATCAAGTCATGGACCCCCTTGGTCCTGTAAAGGTTATATAAACATAGCTGTCTAGCTCTATCAAGTCATGGACCCACTGGGGTCCTGTAAAGGTTATATAAGCATAGCTGTCCGGCTCTATCAAGTCATGGACCCACTGGGGTCCTGTAAAGGTTATAAAAGCATAGCTGTCCGGCTCTATCAAGTCATGGACCCACTGGGGGCCTGTAAAGGTTATAAAAGCATAACTGTCCGGCTCTATCAAGTCATGGACCCAATGGGGTCCTGTAAAGGATATTAGCATAGCTTCCAGGTCTATTAAGTCATGGACCCACTGGGGTCCTGTAAAGGTTATATAAACATAGCTGTCCAGCTCTATCAAGTCATGGACCCACTGGGGGCCTGTAAAGGTTACATTAGCATAGCTGTCCGGCTCTATCAAGTCATGAGCCCACTGGGGTCCTGTTAAGGTTATATAAGCATAGCTTTCAGGTCTTAAGTCATGGACCAACTGGGTTCCCGTAAAGGTTATATAAACATAGCTGTCCGGCTCTATCAAGTCATGTACCTATGTAACCATGACATATACACTGTAACAATATCAACAAAGTAAAAGAATTTATTCTAAATACTTTAGACAATAATAATGTTGTTACACATACAGAGATTAAATATCTGTGAAGATAGAAAATATTCGTAAGAGAAAAAGACAAAAATGTTGCAAAAGTGTTTACATAAAGTAATTCTATATAGTTGATGTGCTTTCCATACAGATGTTGAAAAATAATCACAAAGAAAAAAATATGATACATGGAAATGAATATTTAGTATAATTAATCAGCAGATTTGTATTAAAATCTTTTGATATCCACATATCCATGCAGTCCACAAATTAAAATAACCCAACAACATAACAAAGATATAGTCTACAGTTAACCATTCATTAGATAATGCACAAACACTAGATGAATTCTAGAAGGAAAATATAGTGTTTGGGCACTAAGGCAGTTTTATAAATAACATCCGAAACAAAAGCCACCAAAACTCACAGAACTAGATGACCAGGAATGAACTAAGGATTGGGATACGATACAACAAGAATTTGGGGGTTTACTTAAAAATCTTTGAAAGTAATTTAACGATATAATGAAGAAAATGGTAAAGTTTTAATAGAATGATTTTATATACACGAATACACTGCACTCAAAATACATTTCTTGTACTCGTGGTCTTTAAACAGTTTTATGGAAAATATTATCTGTCGCATCTTGCCTCATTGAAAGGGTTTCATTAATAGGCTTGGCAGAATTTTGAAAATTCATAATAAATTTTATTTTTAATAATTTCGTACAGTAGATATTAATTTTTTTTTTGAAATGGAGTTTGATAATATTATTATTATTATGAAAGGAAAATGAATGGATTTTTACAATGAATCTTTAGTCATTCATATAAAAAGGACTTTTCCATTTCTTCAAGATATCGGAGTTGTGTGTATAGTTCGTGGGTTGAAATCAGAACTGAAACAAAGCTAGGTCTGGAACACCATGCAGTAAAGTCGTCACCTTTTCTATTCCTCCTTGACGGCAATGAACAAACAGAAACAGAGTCAGTAACACGATCCCCATAGTTCAACACATACACATAGAAGAGCCGCAACACAGCCATGTGCACACATCAAACCTGTAACCATAGCAACTGAAAGACTATTTGAAATATCAGAAGATATTTACATGCTAGATATAACATGGTCAATCTCATTCAATTAGTATCATAGTTCTAGCTACCACTGAAAAAAGATCTGAAGACATTTCAATACAGGTCATGTCAGAACGACCTTTCACGACCTTTGACTGACCAATGAAATGAAAACAAGAAGTTGACATTGGCCAATCAGAAAGCGTCTTTCTCAAGCTGTATGGCACTAGTTTCTAACTGGCAATTTCCATTTTAAACCACCGTATTCGGCGTGATAAGCGCCCAGGGCGCTCTCAAAAATAGAAATAGGGGGCTCTTATTAGAATATTATTTTGGTGAAAAAACAGAGTTGAAAGATCATAAATTTATAAATCTAGGTTTATGCTGACAGGATTTAATTGCCCATAATTAAAGAGGCATATAACACACGTATTATACACGAATAAATAGTCTTGTGAACATTGATCAATCGGAAGGGGTGCTAATTGGGATTGTTCACAAGCCAATATATTAGCAAATATCGCCGTGGGCGCTTATTAGAGCGGGGCGCTTATTACGTCGAATACGGTATGCCTTGAAAAATATTTTGACATAGTTCTCAATTTTGATAAGTGAACAAAAGAACATTTTGCATGTCAAATATATGGCTGAGGTTGGATAGCTGTACTTTCCACTGACTGTGCAAACTCTCTTTGGCTAAAATGTTTATCCTATCGAAGCAAGATGACTTTGACGGAATCAATCATACAGCGCCTAACTGTAGTTCGGAATATCCTATATTTACCATTTCTAGGTTGCATGATCAGAAACCCTGTCATTTCCTGATCTGGTAAGCCACGTTCTGATTGGTCGAAATAAAGGTTGTTCTGACGTGACCAGTGATGGGATGTCCTCAGATCTTTGATTAGCAGCAGTGAGAACTAAGGTATGATTTTAATGAGATTGTAACATGACATGACCAGTAGTTGATGTGGGAGGAGGTAAGATGAGGCGTGTAGACCACAGACCCGTTCCACAAACAAATGTAGCGCAAAGATGGACGTAACACCCATACTTTAACAACGGCTTACGACAGTGGTAGCGCTACGATCACTCAGTGGAACGAAGCCCTTGACCACCTTGGTGAACACCATGGTGCAGGTGAACCATGCATCATAAATCAGGGATTCAAACCCAGGAGATCGCTCCATCCACAGGGACAGCCATGGCCTGGTAATGGTGGATTTCATCTTCCACACAGAGAATGGAAAGACCACATACCAAGTTTAGTGTTGTGGTTACTGGCATAGAGACAATGACTGCAAACAAACAATAGTCCTTCTTCAAACAAAGATCTCTTCACTCGTAGTCCAAACCTTATATTTTTTTAATTTGCAAAAGAATTGCAGTGCCATACCTGACCCTTTGATCAGATCACCAACAGTGCTCTGTCATGTTACGGAGTGTCAGCTTGTGTTCCAGGAAGGTCTAAAGTGACGCAGGCAGTAGTGAGTGAGTGAGTGAGTATGGTTTTACGCCGCTTTTAGCAATATTCCAGCAATATCACGGCGGGGGACACCAGAAATGGGCTTCACACATTGTACCCATGTCGGGAATCGAACCCATGTCTTCGGCGTGACGAGCGAATGCTTTAACCACTAGGCTACCCGACCGCCCCGAAGCAGGCAGTACACATTTACTACTCTGGTGAAACCAGGGAGCATATGCATCTCGCTGACAAACCAAAGATGGTACTTGGGGCAAATCTTATTTCCAACCCACAATCAGCAGATCCTGGTGCAGCCATGGAAGAGAACTCTTTGCAGCGAAATGCAGTGTGCCAAGGTCACTGTGCTCCCATCCACGACCCTGTGGCCTTGGTCAATAAGTTAGCTGACTATAGATCTCATTATTATTACTATTATTATTATTATAATTCTCTTCAATCATGACTGAACAATGCATACTCACTGTCTACTGTCTGTATCTTCTGGCTTAGAATAATTTACATCGGCTGAAAAACAAGTAATAGGTTTAGAACAAGACATTCAGTACACTCTAACTGCAAGTGATTAAATTGTAAAGGCCGTAGAAAAAATTGAAATTGTCTGCAACAAAAATTACATTGTTCAAAGGAGTTTTTAAGAAAAAGACGTGTAGTTCTCATAGTTTTAAGTAAGTAAATAGCTGGCTTTGCAGCTGTAACTGAAAACATATCTAGTCTCCATACAGTATCCCAGGCCCAATAAGAATATTTATAAACCTATTCATTGGGATCGCTATTAAGTAAGAGAATTCTTTCTAGAGGCATTAAAACCTATTGTGAGGTTTTACTTTCCAGTCGGGTTAAATCTCATAAACAGGGACGTTGTAATGTCCCTGGGATTTTATATAATATCCCTGGGATTTTATTAATATAACTTCCGTTCAGATTGTAACATGTAATGAAATGAAATGTTTTCTTTATATTCCCGAGGATTGAACTCGCAACCTTCATATCTGTAGCCCAGTGAGTGTACCACGAGGCTACAGAGGTGTTGATAAGCCACACTGGTTTTTAGAATGCCCTTTTCAAGATCCGTACGCCAGCAACAGATATTTTACGCGCGTTTCCTAAGGTTCATGGAAAGTATGTTTGAAACATAAAAATGTTGATAAATGTTGTTTTAAGTTTCTTTTTCTCGGTTTATAAGCATGGAAAAACACTTTCCCTCGGTTTTGGTAGACAGAGCTTCGCCCTCTTGGTTTTTCCCTCGGCCCAGGGCATGCTCTGTCTACCAAAACCTCGTGAGCGTGTTTTCTCCAATACATAATGGTCGGTCTCTATGGCCCCACACTTTCCTTACTGCAAGAAAGGTAGATATTAAATGGACCTGTGAAGAGTCCAGGGTAGAATAGGTCTTCAGCAGCCCATGCTTGCCGTAAGAGGCGACTAACGGGATCTGGTGGTCAGGCTCGCTGACTTGGTTGATGCATGTCATCGTATCGCGTGGATCGATGCTCATGATATCAATCACTGGACAGGGTTAGAAATTGGCACTAGTCCTATAGTCCTTGCCAAACTGCCCAATGGTAAAGGTATCACAAGGACTAGTAGAAAATTGCCCTTGTTAAGGGTTTTGCTATATGTTATCATTATAAGGACTAGTGGACGAAAACTGTTTGTTTCTAACGCTGCTGGATTGTCTGGTCTAGACTCGATTATTTACAAACTGCCGTCATATAGCTGGAATATTGCTGAGTGCGGCGTTAAACAACCAACCAACTTACTAAATCTATTATTGGCTTTAGTCTTCTGCTCCTTCTTCCTACTGTGGATGACGGCTATAACAGCTAACAATATGGCCACCAGCAGGAACAGAAGCCCACCTATGATTCCACCAATCAGAGCGTCAGGTAGAGTTAGCGACTCTGAAACAACAAGACAACCGTTAGGATCTTAGGACCAAAGCAGAACAATATTAGTCAATGATTTACGCTGCATCATCAATATTACAGTTATTTGTGGCAAGAACAATAGTAAAGTATCACAACATAACATCAGGGGCCTGGGCCCCGTTCCTCAAAGCGATCGTAGCGCTACGATTATCGTAAGCCCATGTTAGTGAGTGAGTGAGTTTGGTTTTACGCCGCTTTTAGCAATATTCCAGCAATATCACGGCGGGGGACACCAGAAATGGGCTTCACACATTGTACCCATGTCGGGATTCGAACCTGGGTCTTCGGCGTGACGAGCTAACGCTTTAACCACTAGGCTACCCGACCGCCCCTAAGCCCATGTTAAAGTAAGGGACTTACGATCACCTTGGTGCTAAGGTCTTTTGAGGAACGGGTCCCTAGGTTTACACAGCTGAATGCTGGGAGACTTGTACCTCCATGGACTGACAACAGCCCCAGCACTGTCAACACTTTACACATGCTCACACCGAGGACATTCAAACACTAACAACATGCTAACTAATAAACATCAAAGTCAGAGTTATGAAGTCCCTTTTTTCAAGACTAGACAAGGGGACCAGTGTCAACCTTAATTCACTCATCCACAGATTCAGAGCCAGCCCTGCTTGAATGTGACAAATGTTACCATGTTGACATTTTCTGTCAGTTTTAATCAGTTCCAGTTTGTAGTAAAATTGAAATATTGAGAAATGGTTCTGAATTATAGCCCTTGGTAGCTGCAAGCCAATGGGTAATACCATCATTTGTTTTTAACTTGTCTTCAGCACAATTTAGTAGCCTCTGGCTTGTAGACTAGCGTGAATTTCAAAGGCTGACTGATAGTGCAGCAGCTCAACCACCAACTGTCAATGGGAAGGATCTGAATCACAACGTTCTGGAATATTGTGACTAAGAAAAAGAGATAAAGTGGATATCATTTACTGAACATAATACAAATGTAAACAACCATGAGATGAGGAACCGTATGGGTGAAAAATCCCATTTTAACTTTTTGTTATATTTTTAATCTACAGCATCCTTGGAACTCGAAAATACAACTCACAGGCTTAAATTCATATTTATTACAGAGGTACATGACATCATGGCGATCTTCACTGAAGTAAGTTGACGTCAAACGTCTTGATGACGTCACAGCACAATTGTATCCTAGCACACATAAGGTCCCTTTTCTCCTGTTTGATCACAGATATTGTCAGGGATCATTAATGTTTTTAATAGTGAAGCTATTTCATAAAAATAACCCCAAAACTAATCATCATCCCCAACCTTTTGGTTCAGGAGAAACCCGAAAACCTTGTGGATTGGCAATAAAAGAAAATCCCCCTTAACTGTCTGCTGTGATGAGGATGCAATATACAACAATACACACACACAAAACAAAAGCATGTCTGCTCCAAACACTGATGTTTGTTCTGCAGTACAGAAGTGTCCAGGGTACTTCAATAGTCTCTGAACATGCAGATCTGAATGTCTATACTAGAATGGGTGACAGTGAGGGGGTGAGTTGGGTTTGACAGTCGCTGTTACAGTATTCCAGTTATATCACAGCGTGTCAGCTTAATGTGGACGAACTCCCAAAGTGAAGCAGGTCTCAGATGTTTACCACTTTGGTGAAACCCACGAGCACAGGTATGTTTCTGGTGTGCTCAAGGGATGCAACTCCGCGAAATGAGGTGCCTGAGATGACTGGGTCACGCATGCTCTCAAAACAGTTACAGTGTATTGCTGAATACCCCATCAACAGACCGGAAACACCAATCAACTAAAAACAACATCGTGCAACACTGGGGTGTGGTGAAAAGGGTTTAACGTTGCATTTAATGCACTAATAATATCGACGTGCATGCACATGTGCGTGTGTGTGGCTGCATGTGCTTGTCCAGGCTTCTGGGCGATTTACAGTGCTAACACACTGAGATGCCATCCCGCAGGTTAACATGGAAACCCGATTCGGACACAGTTTACGTGCTCCAAGCCAACCTGGATGCCGTTGTACAAAGCGATCTTAGGGCTAAGGTGATCATAACTCCCATACCTTAACATAGACTTACGACAGTTGTAGCGCTAAGGTTGTTTTGTACAACAGCACCCAGTCATTGTTTTAGCCTCCAGAACAGGAGGTACCATCTTTAAACATCTTTTGGTGTGATGTGGTGGGTACTGAACCACCAACCTCCCCGGTTCCACTCTCCGGCCAGATGCTCTATCCACTGACTGACTGACTGACTGAGTATGGTTTTACGCCGCTTTTAGCAATATTCCAGCAATATCACGGCGGGGGACACCAGAAATGGGCTTCACACGTTGTACCCATGTCGGGAATTGAACCCGGGTCTTCGGCGTGACGAGCGAACGCTTTAACCACTAGGCTACCCGACCGCCCCCTCTATCCACTACACCATGGAGCTGGCCGCAATGACTTGAGATCGTCTCCCATGTTAATCACAAGTTTTGTTTGTTTGTTGCTTTTTAACACCGCACTCAGCAATATGCCAGCTATATGACGGCAGTCTGTAAATAATCGAGTCTGGACCAGACAATCCAGTGATTTACATCGTGAGCATCCGCAACTGGGATACAATGACATGCATCAATCAAGTCAGTGAGTCTGACAACCCGATCCCGTTAGTCGCCTTTTACAACAAGCATGGGTTGCTGAAGACCTACTTAACCAGTGTTCGAAATACCTGCCTGCCCGACCGTCCGAGACGGGTTGATTTCAACTCGGGCTGCCAGATTTTCAAATCCCCCTGCCCGACGGTCGGGTTATATTTCATATGTAAAAATATTCTAAATATTTCCGGATGATAAGCATTATTTACATGATGTATAATAGGATATTAAATACAAATCTGACCTAAAAAGTGTTTGCAATTTCTTTTCTTGCATTACTTCATGTTCAATGAATTCGATTTAAAGTTTTAATTAAATTATCCTGAGAAACATAGGATTATAGTGGGCAGGCAGGTTTTGGTCAGGGCTGTCAAGTATTTCAGCTAGCCAGTCCTGTAGTCTGGCTGAAATTTTTTGGAGTTTCATACCCTGTTTTAACCCAGATCTTCACGGGTCTCATCACTAAGTGTGTTGACTGAACCAACATGTGACATACACACGGGGATTGACATCGTGAGCATCCGCAATTGGGATACAATGACATGCATCAATCAAGTCAGTGAGTCTGACAACCCGGTCCCGTTAGTCGCCTTTTACAACATGCATGGGTTGCTGAAGACGTATTCTTACCCAGATCTTCACGGGTCTGATCACTAAGTGTGTTGACTGAACTAGTGAGTGAGTGAGTTGGGTTTAACGCCGCTTTTACCAGTATTCCAGTTATATCGCGGCATGTCAGCTTAATGTGGGAGGAAAGCCCGAAGTGATGCAGGTCTCAGATGTTTACCACTTCGGTGAAACCCACGAGCACGGGTATGGTGCAGACAAACCTAGAAACATAATCGGGGCGAACCGGGATTCGAACCCACAATCATAGGTTTCTGGCGTGCCCAAGGGACGCAACTCTGCACAGCGAATTGCGGCGCCTTAGACGACTGGGCCACCCTTGCCCCCTGCTGACTGAACTAACATGTGACATACATACACACGGGGATGAGGTGAAACCAACGGGTCAGGAAACAACACCAACCCATCAACATAAATAACACTGTTAGGCGATAATAAAGGCACACTGTCATTGTCTTACCAAGTGACGAAAACAAGCCTCTTTGTCCCATCAAGGAATGTGTTATCTTCAATAATAATTACATACTAAAAAAACTATGCAGGAGTGAGTGAGTATGGTTTAACGCCGCTTTTAGCAATATTCCAGCAATATCACGGCGGGGGACACCAGAAATGGGCTTCACACATTGTACCCATGTCGGGAATCGAACCCGGGTCTTCGGCATGACGAGCCAACGCTTTAACCACTAGGCTACCCGACCGCCCCCTATGCAGGAGTGAATGAGTTGAATACTTTGAATTGCAGTTCAGTGATGTCCAAGAGTTTCAGATTTATGAGGGATAAAAGCCGAAACAGATGTTGCTTGTACATATGTATTACTTTTCGTGGTGATGCGTGGATCGAAAGATTAAAGATCATCAAGTAATCGGGGGAAATTGAGAATTTTTAACCTATAACCTTTGGATCCTGGCATGGCCAGGGGACACAACTCTGCACAGCCACTTCATATACAGGCTGACCTTATCTGCTTGTTATCCTCAGTAGGAATTGGACTAATGACACTGTGCCATTGTAACCAAACTGTAACACATGTTAGACTAGAGACAAGCACAAGGGTGGAGGGAATATTCTGCGTTATATACCAGATGACGCACTGTTGGAGGACGATCTTCGGATAGCTTGAGGAGAGATAGGGGAAATATGCATTATTAGTAATGACTATTCCAATTTATTTGGCTTTGCAGCGATAGAAACTAACAGTTTTAGCCCGCTAGTCCTTACAATGATAAAAATATAACAAAACCTTTAACGGGGAAATATCTTGTCCTTAGGATACCTTAACTAGGTAGTTCGGCAAGGATTACAGGACTTATGCCAATTTCTAACGCTGCTTTGGCACAAAATACATGATTAGATTTTCATCCAGGTTTCAGCAACATCCAACACAAGAAGCTATAAAGACTCAAACACTTGGATTCTGGTCGAGAGCATCTTTCATACCTCCATATCAGGCCTGATAGAACCCAGGTTATAAAGTACTCACGGAAATGAAAAAAAACTGTTTTTTCGACCTCAGATCTTAAATAAATGCAGTTAATATACAAAATATGTAAATATTCAAACAACTCAATTAGTACTAATTGGGCTTTGGCACAAATACAGCGTATCAAAGGTTTTTATGCCTTTTTACAAGTAAAAGTGTGTAAAAATGTGAATAAAACAGACTATTGTGAAACAGGGCATAACCAGGTGTAAGTAGATCAAGGTGACCTATGACACCTTGCCGACAGGTGAGAACAGGTGCATAATACCTATAGTCTGTTTCTGCTATGTCAATTTGGACTTAGTTTTATTTTTGAATGTTGAAAGTGACGACAAATTACCTCCTGTAGTGTACATTTTGTATTGTTCACTGAGATCAAACTAGCAAATCCAGACTAGTACTTTTCGAGTTGTTTTGTTATTTCGTATTTACAGCGACGTAACACTTTGTGTCGATTTTTAAATTGAGAAAAACAGGTTTTTTTCATTTCCGTGAGTACCTTAGAGGGTAGTGCCAACTGACCAAGTCTGAAGGTTGCATAACCTTGACGCTTTCTTACCAGCATGCAGCTTTATATTAATGACGTATTGTTTAGTGTTACAACTATCACTATATAACGGCATGCTCAAAGCAATGGATCAATGTGTGGTAATACTGTTCACAGAAGTTGATGGACAAATGCTTGGAATTTTGCCTTCACTTTACAATCTCATCATTGTAGTCTAGTGGCCATGTTTGTTTTTATTTTTTTTTGTATGTTGATAAATGGAGGACTCCGCATTATTCCTCCTATATGACAGCAGTCTAGAAATAATCGAGTACGTACCAGACAATCCAGTGATGGACTCATGAGGATCGATCCACATAATTGGATGAGATGACATCCATCAACCAAGTCAGCGAGCCTGACCACCCAATTGCCTCTTACAACAAACATAGTCACCTTTTACAGCAAGCATGGGTTGCAGAAGACCTATTCTACCCCAGATCTTCACAGGTCCATCCAGCCATGTCCGCACCAATTCTTGATGCCTAAATTAATGCCACATGTTTCAGGTATTGTGTTTCGTTGTGGTGACAGAAGTCCTTGAAACTCTACCATCATGCTTGATCACCCATCCACCTACTCTCAACCACCTGCATTACTTGCACTGTGCACAAGGCATATGCCACCACACCCCTCCTCAACACATTCCAGTGAAGTTTTGTAAGAGAATATTTCCTGAGAGGCCAAAATATGGAGAAGTGAGCTATGTAAAGTCAATGTTGATACTGACTTCTAAATTCCTCACTCAGGCTTCAGGAGTGAGTGAGTGTGGTTTTATGCCACTTTTGCAATATTCCAGAAATATCATGGCGGGGGACACCCGAAATGAGGTTCACACATTGTATCCATGTGGGGAATCGAAACCGGGTCTTCAATATGATGAGCTCATGTTTTGACCACTAGACTACGATTAGGCTACCTGCCAACCTCGGGAGCGATGTCTCCATGAATTCCAAAACACTAAGTTTATAAGAGTTGAGGTGAAATGTTGTGTGTGTGCGTGGCCGCTTGTACTAGACTGATGCCGATGTTTAAGTGCTAGCCTACTGAGATAACAAGCCGAAGTTTAACACGAATACCCCACTAGGAAACAGTATACTGACTCCGAGCCCACCAGTCCTTGTTTTACTCCGTTAATGTCGAGCGCCAGACAGGGTAACAACAAGTACCATCTGTTAATGTCTTTTGGTGTGACGTGTCCGGGGATCAAACCCTTGACCTTCTGCTCTCCGGGCGGACGCTCCACCACAAGACCACCGAGGCGGTCCCATTTTGATATGAGTGAGTGAGTGAGTGAGTATGGTTTTACGCCGCTTTTAGCAATATTCCAGCAATATCACGGCGGGGGACACCAGAAATGGGCTTCACACATTTTACCCATCTCGGGAATCGAACCCGGGTCTTCGGCGTGACGACCCAACGCTTTAACCACGAGGCTACCCGACCGCCGCCCCTCCATTTTGATATAAAGCACCTGAACAATGCACACAATATTCCAAAAGAACCTTCCTCTATCCCAAAGCCGTGAGGACCTGCACTAGGTTTTAAGGAGAGATATAGAATACTAAACGAGCTCCCGTGTAATACCAATTTTATGAAAAGAGTGAATAGTTGTGGTATCTGACGCGCGAAAGCGAGTCATACACCACATCTATTCACGAGTTTCATAAAATTGGTTTTACACGGGAGCGAGTTTAGTATTTTATTTATTACTTGCCTCTTATAACGTTTTTGGAATTATACTGTTGAGTGTGAATAGGCTGACACTTACACGATCCACGGCATAGTCCAATTGAGTTTAACAGAATAATACTTCAAATACCTCAAAAGTTTAAACGTATGAATTTAATACCATTCAACGGTCCACCTTTAGAATTCACAAAATTATCGTAGGGCTAAGACTATCGCAACTCACATACTTTAACAGACTAACGACTGTCGTTGTGATCGCCTTGTGGAACGGGCCTTGCACCTCAAAGTTTACAATAACATCACAATACCCGATGACGTATTTTGTGGATTTTTGTTGCAAGATCGTTCGGCGAAACAATGCCATGTGACGTCAGCCTAGCAACACGGTTGCTGGGGTCATCGAGTGTGTATAAGCTCCTCTCAGTGATCTATCAACTCCACACGCAATGTCGTTGAATAAGCCGAGGGATGTTGAGAGCTTTCAATATTTGTTCGTGAAACGTGTTCCGAGAGTACACAGCACGCGTTTTGGTATTGCACAATGTGTAATACAGCTGTATGTTTACTAAACGGATAGTCTCTTCACGGGCAAGTAATAAAATAATTTATGTGACACTTGAGTGAAACAGACATGAAAGTGCTTGAATGTAAATTATTTCTCAACATCCCAATACCAGTTTTAACTAAAACAATGATTTGGAAGCGTGTCTCACCTGATTTGGTTGTCACGGTAACAATATTGCTTGGTTCGCTCATTGCTAACACGCCATTAGATATGACCTGTATCTGATAGGTGGTACCCGGCGCCATGTCTTTCATAAGGATAGGCGGCGCATCTGATAATGATATTTTATCGTTGTAACGCGTCCAAAGTCCGTCTGTCCTAAAGTCAACAGTGAAGGAAAATATTGGAACGGATGTGTTGCGAGGGTGTTGCCATGACACCAGTATTCCATCATCCGTAACTCTTGCCGTGACGTTCTGCGGGGGGCTTGGTGACGGACCTGACAACACAGAAAAAATCGCTGAAGCTCCCCCATCAACTGCACCCGACGATCCCCGCACACTCACCTGTGTTAGTCCTTCAGTATCAGACTGAAAAACACCGTCCTGTAAAAATCCTGCTGTCTGGCATCGTACTGAAGCAAGTGCATTAACTGACCATAAAAGTCCAGTTTCCACCCTTGCTGGAATTCCGTAGTTACATTTTCGCTGGACTAATGAGTGAGTTGGGTTTTACGCCGCTTTTAACAGTATTCCAGTTATATCACAGCGTGTCAGCTTAATGTGGGAGGAAAGCCCGAAGTGATGCAGGTCTCAGACGTTTACCACTTTGGTGAAACCCACGAGCACGGGTATGGTGCTGACAAACCTAGAAACATAATCGGGGCGAACCAGGATTCGAACCCACAATCATAGGTTTCTGGCATGCCCAAGGGTCGCAACTCTGTACAGCGAATCGCGGCACCTTAGATGACTGGGCCACCCGTGCCCCCGCTGGACTAATGAGTCTATGCATAGTCCAATCAAAACCACGTAACAAACTAGATATCTGGTTCGTAAACAACATCGATTTCAACGTGCAGATATCGGAGACTGCTGGATTTGCAAAGCATGTGTACTGTCAACTGAGCGTCGACAGATATTTTGCAAATCTCTTCATGTTTTTTTTTAGTCAAATTGCTCACGTAATCGTCTGGCTGACTGGCTGTGATAACATCAAGTTTCTTCTAGTTCACTCATACTGAATAAATAATCTTGTTTTTTGCAGTCTGCAATATTCAATTTTCTTTAGCACAGCCTTTAATCACACTGTTGCCAGGCAACCCAGTGGTTCAACATAGTGACAATCACAGTGTTGACTACAGAACCCGCATTATATTCAGGTCTTTTGACAAACAAAGCTTGGGATCTGTTTTTACCTAAACCAACACAAACAAAAACCACACATACACTCAAGCTTGAATATTCCATATCGTTGGGCAGAGTATTTTCCTGTTCTACAGATTCCTAGATCACTATACCAAGATTCTGGAGGCATCATAAAATATATGTTGGTAGGTTCATTTGAGGTTATTTTCTGAATAATAATTTATCATCATATAATGGGTAGGTTTCGCAGTAGAAAAAAGCCCATGGACAAAAATGGTATCCCTTGGGGTCACAAACGGATAAATATGCAAATATGAAAGGTCAAGAAGGTACTACTTTCATTGTTTACAACAAACATGGCATCGCCCTCGTCAATCAGAATTGACAACAGTGAATCGGGACATATTCCTGGCATAACAGATCACAGTTCATTTGAGAAGTCTGTTTTGTTGAAAATGAAGATATTACAATTAAATGAGATGAGAGAAAACAAAAACACTGATATATATATACATTTTGTACGCCATGAATCTTGTGGAAGTTTTTATACTTGGGGGCCATTGTACCATGTAAGTGTAGGTACCCAAAGTCGGAATTATTTATTCAGCCTTTTTGTTTGTTGTCATGGCAACTTACCAATAGATTCTTTTATATCTGGTATATATGTTGACCCATACCCATCTGTAGGCAAAGCCGTTACCAAGTCCATATGAAATCCTGGAAACGAAAAAAAACAAAAATCTGATTAGTTGGGATCCAAACTGGGGTGATCTCAATGGCTGCCTGGTCCTGTACGAGCTGAGGTGTTGCCTAGCAGTAATCACAGTCCAACAGAATCTCATAGTGGATGACAGAGTGGCGTTAGTAGGCGTCCAGAGTGACGTAGTAGTTACTGAGTGAGGTCAGAGGTTAGTGGAGTGCTCACGTGATCAGTTACCCTCAACACACAGACCTTACCCTGAGACTGTGTACTGTCATTTAAGAGTATGTCTCTTTTTTCGTTAACAACTGGTATGGTCTGCAGAGCAGAGATGTCGAGCGTTTTCATTGGCTCAAGTCCTCAATCTATGCCTATATATGGTAGCATCTCGTTGGTCCATGTCCCAATTTTGGGCCTATCCATATATGGTAGCAACTCAAACCCGTTTATACATGGCAGCTCATTGGCTCTTATCCCAAACCGATGTGTCTATATGGCGATTCATTGGCTCATATTCAAAACTGATATCTTTATGGTAGCTCATCGTGCTTATCCAAAACCTATGCATATATAAAGTAGAAGAAAATTGCTCAAGTCCAAAAGCTCTACTGATATATATATACTGCACAGATAAAGTTAGGGATCAGGACTATCTTAGAAGACATTTGTTGTTGTGAAGAGAGAGCACACAATTTCAAAACAATATCCCCAAAAACAGTGATGATCCCTAAGTTTATTTGTTCAGTATACTATAATTGCTGCTGTCCTGTGTTTTTAGATGGAAGTAAATCTTGAACAGTTGTCAATCGCTAGTGACATCCCTCTATCAACATGGGACAGTGGTTCCTGTTGTCAGAGCACCCACCTAATTAAGCACCCACCTCATTAAGCACCCACCTCATTAAGCACCCACCTAATTAAGCACCCACCTAATTAAGCACCCACCTCTTTAAGCACCCACCTGATTGTAACTCATTTTTGTAGAGATGGAAAATGACATTAGTCCTGAACAAAAGATACAGTTTCTCATAAAATACCATTAACAAATACTTTTTCATTCATTTCTAAGTCATTATTTCATATTATAGCCAATTTTGCCTCCAAATGGCTCGAAGTATCTACTCGTTGAAATGATAAACTCAGTATTCTGTATGTTGGTATTGAATTAATTTCTATAACTATTCTTAATCTTCCAACAATTCTTGATCAGCAAAATAAGTTAATATAGTCTGATTACAAATAAAAGTAGGCATTGCAGAGAATATAAGGAAATAGCATAAACACTGGATACCAAAATGCATAAATGCGTATATATATATATATGGATATATCATGGACTGAAAATGCTCAACATCTCATCAAAATACATTCCTATTTCATACCAGCTATTTATGAGGCAAAGAGATACCTAGTGTACAACGATAAATGACAATTCACAATCCAAAATATGTGCCGTTACAGTCTCGAGCAGACGTCAACGTGACGGATATCACAAGATATCACCAGTAGAGTGCAGGTGCAACGTCATTCATAATTCTGTGATATCACAAGCACAGAAAGTGAGGATAAAAGTTGGAATTGGCAGGAATTTTGCCAGCATGCTGCATGCAGACATCTGGAAAATGGACAATGAAGCGTAGGTCACGAAATGAATATCTTACACATGCAATACGTGCAGAGATTGTCGAATGCATCACGATGCACATTGGTGCTAGTCCATCTACAGAATGATGCAACAAGATGCATGTCTAAGAATTTCATAAACAGTAACAACAAACTTCTTGCATGCAAAAGTTTGTAAATATTCAAGCTCTGTATCATATGAACTGGATGAATCTGGAATTCTGCACTCTAAACCAGCTTAATCTGGCTCATCATGCTACAACCAGATCCATCCAGTTAACTCCAGTTGAGAGCTGGCTGTTTGAAAAGACCATGAAAAGCAATAAAAAGACTGACTGACATACTATAGTGTTGACCACATCTTTAAAAACCTCACACACGACTTAAACCCATCATGGTGCTGCTCCTGTGAAGAAATTTCATGAATTCATCTCAAATAAACCCCCGGCAAAAGGTATTTGAGTACATCATGGACGTGTTTAAGACAGGCGCAGGTTTCTAACGACATGGTTTTAACTATAGCTGTGTTCTAGTGGTGCCGAGAGTTGTACCCGTAATCTTTACTGTGGTTGGTTCAGGTTCCGTCTCATTCCCTGGAATAAACCAGTAGTTAGTGGTGTTATAACAAGCGTATCTACCGGCTCACACTACCCCTACTGTCTGCCGGAGACTTGGCTGTTCTGTCGCTTCCGTTGGCTCATTGGAAATGTGTGTGATCAGAATTTTGTCTGCAGAATTCTTTCCAAAGTGATATATAAAAAAACGTTTTTTGCATTGTTAGTGACATTTTTGCCATTTGTTTTGAATTTGGTGTGACCGTATTGTAAAAACAAAATTGAAACTGGAGATTGAATTTCTATCAGTTTTACACTGTATTAGAACGGTTATGATGATTTCTGACTTCAGAATGCTATTTATTTTGAAATTAAGAAATAAATACTGATATAATTACATCACTGTTATAATTATTGTCTGAAAGAAACAATTTTTAAATATTTTGTTTTCTTGAGGCCTTCAATCCAAAGCGAGAATATTCCTATCTTATGACTTTTTTTTAACAATAACACACAAAATTGTAAACTTATTTTGAATAATTTTAATGTTTAGGCGATGTATGTGTATGTTATTACAGAATGGTGGCTCGAAACATGAACAACGAACCATGGATTACATTGTGTCAAACAGGAAGCAGAAGATGACATATAACACCTTATAAGGAGATCTTGAAAAAAACAAATAAATGGTACATGAGGGAGGGCGGTATTAACGGCTGAGGGATCGGACATGAAGATATCATGGTCCCTTTCCAGAAGATTTAACTGCTGATTTCTGGCTGTAAGTTATTTAGTTCATAAACACTAGGTTTTCTTTCAAAATCATACATATATTGGCCAAAGAAAACTTGGAGTCGATAATTTTTTTTTGTAAATATCTTTTGCTGAAGAAGAATACAATGTTTAGGTTTTATTAATTTTGTTTAGGTTTTATTAATTTATTTTATGGGATATACCGTATTCGATGTAATAAGCGCTCCGCTCTAATAAGCGCCCACGGCGACATTTGCTAAGATATTTGCTATTGAACAATCCCAATCAGCACCCCTTCCGAGTGATCAATGTACACAAGACTTATTTATTCGCGTATAATATGCACTTGTGTGTTTTATGCACCCTTAATAATGGGCATTTAATTCCGGAAAAATATATCTGTCGTACATAAACATTTCAGGCTGTCAGCATAAACCACAACATTTATCTTTTAATTCTGTTTTTTCCACCAAAATAACATTCTAATAAGAGCCCTCTATTTCTAATTTTGAGAGTGCCCTGGGCGCTTATTACGTCGAATACGGATTGTTTTTTTTCACAATATATTGAAATGTTTAGTGTCACTAACATGTTTTTTTGACAAAGAAAATTGGAAAGATACTTGTACACAGAATAAGGGCAGGCTGCAAGATTCGTGTGAAGCAAGTGTAGTTATGTTAGGAGGTGAGTTTGTTAGTAGGCAAAGAAAACTGTGATTAGTTGCATAAAAAATACATGGCAACTGCAGAGGAAAAAGTCAGAAGTTATTGAAGGATGTCAAACAGCTCCTAGAAAGAACAACTCATAAATCATATTCAAACATTTTAACGACATCTCCTTCAAAAACTTCAACATATTTGTCCAACCAAGAAAATCAATAATTCCTATGTAATAATCTTCTGTCGTTATTTCCTAAAATAACTAAAAGTCTATTTCAAACAGAAATACAAAATTTCAAACTAAATAGCTTTTTTAACACAAAATGATCAATGATGTTATCGATGAGAACTAAAGGGAGTTAACTTAACCGTCCCATTAACAATTAGCTTGAACTATTCCTGAAACAAACATGTCATATTATGTTACGATGTTTCATAAAGGTAAATAAAATGAAACACCTAACAAAAAGTATAAACAGGACTCAATAGAGAGAGAATCTAAAGCTCAAGTCTAACATGGCAAAAATTATTGTAAAAACAGGCTCCGAAATCAAACAGTCCTTGAGCTAATCAACTACGGTATAAAGCACGCAATTTAGGAGGAATACGGTACAACAGTGGTTTTAAGCATTCATATGTTTGGCCTTGTTATCTGTAGAAACTACATATTAAAGTGACAGTCACAATAATCCAAATACTTGGACAAAGTATTACCGTACATGTTCCAATCTACAAGTTGGGTAAATTTGGAAACCTCTTTATTTAATAGTTACGAATTTATTGCATGATAATGTTTCGGTTATAAACAGCTTTCAGAATATACATACAGACATACCAAAAAGTCCTGAGAGCAAACAGACAGTGTCACTTTAAACTGACTAAGGATTCAAGGGAGACAACCATTCTGTCAGGCATGGAAGTAGCTGATTGGCTGAGTTGGAGTGAGTGTCTCAAATATGCAGAGGTGGGCAGGGAGGAATATACTGAGGGTAGGGCAGTTTATTAATTGGGTATGAATGATGACTGAAACTGAAAATGAGGAATTCGTATCATATTTCTGTCTTTACTTGTATTTACTCATTTTCAATTTCATTAATTCTATGAAGCTGTATCCTAAGATCCTAAGATCCTAAGATCCTATGAAGGTTGCTCTTTCCAGTCTCTCCTACGTCTATAGTAAATTTTGATAATATAAATCTGTATGTTCAGGCTACAGATACTCGATCCAGGTTTGGGGCTTCAAAACCCTGATCATGGATTGTCCAATACATGAGAGTTTTGGGATGAAATAATCATTATTTCCATTGCGTTTTCAATGAATTCAGAATCAATATATTAAGTCAAAATCTGTTTTTCTGTGTTTCCATTCATTCGACTGACGCGCTAGAAAGAGCTGACCTTAATGGGTATCATGCGATTTACCCATAATCCCCGTGGAGGACGGAGCAGAAGTTTACCTCGTGTCTTTGCGAGGACTCTTTTACTGTACATTCCGTCACCATACTCGTTCCGGGACAGCACCATAAACTCATACATCGTGTTGGGCATCAGAGTGTACAAGGTGAAGGTCGTTGACCCCTGAGGGACCCGCATTGTCTCCCAGTTTGTGCTGTCCTCTGCCCCAACGCGAAACCTAAACAACAAATGTCTTGTACACCATGTAGACAGACCTCGACACACAAACACCTCTTATCAAACCAAAATATTCACATGATAAAATTATCCATTCATATACCACTCTTTGCAAAAACAGTTTCCTTAAGATGAGTTGGTCTTATGCTGTTTTGAAGAGGATTGATGGTTTTGAGTGGAGACATCTACAGGTCTTCCTTGGCAGTGCATTACATAGAAAAACGCCCTGTGAAGATCCTGGTTAGAATATCTTCAGCAACCCATACTTGTCGTAAGAAGCGACTAGCATGTCGCAAGAGGCGACTAACGGGATCGGGTGGTCGGCCTCGCTGACTAAGTTGATGCATGTCATTGTATCCCATTTGCGTGTATTGTTGCTCATGATATCAGTCACTGGATTGTCTGGTCCGTACTTGAATATTTACAGACCGCCGTCATACAGCTGGAATATTGCTGAGTGCGGCGTTAAACAACAAACAAACAAACCTGAAATACCTATGCCCTCATGAGGAGGGGCTGCTACGCCTGGTAACTACACCTGACATGTAGACTAGAACAAGGGCTATGTCAACATTAGGTGACCATTGTAACCTTTAAAATTACCATAATATGTATGTCTGTGGGCTCCCTCCATCGTAGGCTGGTTCCCAGGTGACACGGGCGGAGAACAGGTCCGTCGCCACGCTGACGTTGTAGGGGGCGTGGGGCGTTGTGTCTGAAACCGAACCACAGTGTCGGAACTACTAGATACACACGTGATAAAACGGATAACCAGGTCACTGGAGATGATGCTTCAAATACTGGAGACAATGTTTCAAATAGGGGAGACAATGTTTCAAACAGGGGAGCCAATATTTCAAATAGGGGAGCCAATGTTTCAAATAGGGCAGACAATATTTCAAATGCAGGAGACAATGTTTCAAATACGGGAGACAATGTTTCAAATGCAGGAGACAATGTTTCAAATGCAGGAGACAATGTTGCAAATGCAGGAGACAATGTTTCAAACACGGGAGACAATGTTGCGAATAGGGGAGACAATGTTTCAAATGCAGGAGACAATGTTTCAAATGCAGGAGACAATGTTTCAAATGCAGGAGACATTGTTTCAAATGCAGGAGACAATGTTTCAAATGCAGGAGACAATGTTTCAAACACGGGAGACAATGTTTCAAATGCAGGAGACAATGTTTCAAATGCAGGAGACAATGTTTCAAACACGGGAGACAATGTTTCAAATGCAGGAGACAATGTTTCAAATGCAGGAGACAATGTTGCGAATGCAGGAGACAATGTTTCAAACATGGGAGACAATGTTTCAAACACGGGAGACAATGTTTCAAATGCAGGAGACAATGTTTCAAATGCAGGAGACAATGTTTCAAACACGGGAGACAATGTTTCAAATGCAGGAGACAATGTTTCAAATGCAGGAGACAATGTTGCGAATGCAGGAGACAATGTTTCAAACACGGGAGACAATGTTTCAAATGCAGGAGACAATGTTTCAAATACGGGAGACAATGTTTCAAATGCAGGAGACAATGTTTCAAATACAGAAGACAATATTACAATTGCAGGAGACAATGTTTCAAATATGGGAGACAATGTTTCAAATGCAGGAGACAATGTTTCAAATACGAGAGACAATGTTTCAAATAGGAGAGACAATCTTTCAAATACAGGACACATATATTACACAAATATTAAATATTAAAACACCACAGCAAATCAGACAGAAGTTTAGTATCAAACAATGAATGTTCATGACCTAAATTATATCTTCCTATACAAATGTTCCATTCAGTTTCATCTTGACCTACTCATGACACGCAGCTCGGTGACAGCGATGATGGTTGCAATGGAGTTACTGGCCACACATTCATATGTCCCATGGTCTTCCTTCCCCAGGTTGGTGAGAGACAGGTTGCCTTGCATGTTGCGTACCCTCTCATTGATCTCCACCCTGCCTTGGACCTGCGGACATGACAGACAGTGTTAAAAAGCAAACCATGATTGCCTTGGACCTGCGGACATGACAGACAGTGTTAAAAAGCAAACCATGATTGCCTTGGACCTGCGGACATGACAGACAGTGTTAAACAGCAAACCATGATTGCCTTGGACCTGCGGACATGACAGACAGTGTTAAAAAGCAAACCATCATTGTCTTGGACCTGCGGACATGACAGACAGTGTTAAAAAGCAAACCATGATTGCCTTGGACCTGCGGACATGACAGACAGTGTTAAAAAGCAAACCATGATTGCCTTGGACCTGCGGACATGACAGACAGTGTTAAAAAGCAAACCATGATTGCCTTGGACCTGCGGACATGACAGACAGTGTTAAAAAGCAAACCATGATTGCCTTGGACCTGCGGACATGGCAGACAGTGTTAAACAGCAAACCATGATTGCCTTGGACCTGCGGACATGGCAGACAGTGTTAAACAGCAAACCATGATTGCCTTGGACCTGCGGACATGACAGACCGTGTTAAACAGCAAACCATGATTGCCTTGGACCTGCGGACATGGCAGACAGTGTTAAACAGCAAACCATGATTGCCTTGGACCTGCGGACATGGCAGACAGTGTTAAACAGCAAACCATGATTGCCTTGGACCTGCGGACATGACAGACCGTGTTAAACAGCAAACCATGATTGCCTTGGACCTGCGGACATGGCAGACAGTGTTAAACAGCAAACCATGATTGCCTTGGACCTGCGGACATGGCAGACAGTGTTAAACAGCAAACCATGATTGCCTTGGACCTGCGGACATGACAGACAGTGTTAAAAAGCAAACCATGATTGCCTTGGATCTGCGGACATGACAGACAGTGTTAAAAGAAAACCATGATTGCCTTGGACCTGCGGACATGACAGACAGTGTTAAAAGCAAACCATGATTGCCTTGGACCTGCGGACATGACAGACCGTGTTAAAAAGCAAACCATGATTGCCTTGGACCTGCGGACATGACAGACAGTGTTAAAAGCAAACCATGATTGCCTTGGACCTGCGGACATGGAAGACAGTGTTAAAGAGCAAACCATGATTGCCTTGGATCTGCGGACATGACAGACAGTGTTAAAAGAAAACCATGATTGCCTTGGACCTGCGGACATGACAGACAGTGTTAAAAGCAAACCATGATTGCCTTCGACCTGCGGACATGACAGACCGTGTTAAAAAGCAAACCATGATTGCCTTGGACCTGCGGACATGACAGACAGTGTTAAAAGCAAACCATGATTGCCTTGGACCTGCGGACATGGAAGACAGTGTTAAAGAGCAAACCATGATTGCCTTGGATCTGCGGACATGACAGACAGTGTTAAAAGCAAACCATGATTGCCTTGGACCTGCGGACATGACAGACAGTGTTAAAAAGCAAACCATGATTGCCTTGGACCTGCGGACATGACAGAGAGTGTTAACAAGCAAACCATGATTGCCTTGGACCTGCGGACATGACAGACAGTGTTAAAAGAAAACCATGATTGCCTTGGACCTGCGGACATGACAGACAATGTTAAAAGCAAACCATGATTGCCTTGGATCTGCGGACATGACAGACAGTGTTAAAAGCAAACCATGATTGCCTTGGATCTGCGGACATGACAGACAGTGTTAAAAGAAAACCATGATTGCCTTGGACCTGCGGACATGACAGACAGTGTTAAAGAGCAAACCATGATTGCCTTGGATCTGCGGACATGACAGACAGTGTTAAAAGCAAACCATGATTGCCTTGGATCTGCGGACATGGCAGACAGTGTTAAAAGAAAACCATGATTGCCTTGGACCTGCGGACATGACAGACAGTGTTAAACAGCAAACCATGATTGCCTTGGACCTGCGGACATGACAGACAGTGTTAAAAAGCAAACCATGATTGCCTTGGACCTGCGGACATGACAGACAGTGTTAAAAGAAAACCATGATTGCCTTGGACCTGCGGACATGACAGACAGTGTTAAAAAGCAAACCATGATTGCCTTGGACCTGCGGACATGACAGACAGTGTTAAAGAGCAAACCATGATTGCCTTGGACCTGCGGACATGACAGACAGTGTTAAAAAGCAAACCATGATTGCCTTGGACCTGCGGACATGACAGACAGTGTTAAAAAGCAAACCATGATTGCCTTGGACCTGCGGACATGACAGACAGTGTTAAAAGCAAACCATGATTGCCTTGGACCTGCGGACATGACAGACAGTGTTAAAAAGCAAACCATGATTGCCTTGGACCTGCGGACATGACAGACAGTGTTAAACAGCAAACCATGATTGCCTTGGACCTGCGGACATGACAGACAGTGTTAAACAGCAAACCATGATTGCCTTGGACCTGCGGACATGACAGACAGTGTTAAAAAGCAAACCATGATTGCCTTGGACCTGCGGACATGACAGACAGTGTTAAACAGCAAACCATGATTGCCTTGGACCTGCGGACATGACAGACAGTGTTAAAAAGCAAACCATGATTGTCTTGGACCTGCGGACATGACAGACAGTGTTAAAAAGCAAACCATGATTGCCTTGGACCTGCGGACATGACAGACAGTGTTAAAAAGCAAACCATGATTGCCTTGGACCTGCGGACATGACAGACAGTGTTAAAAAGCAAACCATGATTGCCTTGGACCTGCGGACATGACAGACAGTGTTAAAAAGCAAACCATGATTGCCTTGGACCTGCGGACATGGCAGACAGTGTTAAACAGCAAACCATGATTGCCTTGGACCTGCGGACATGGCAGACAGTGTTAAACAGCAAACCATGATTGCCTTGGACCTGCGGACATGACAGACCGTGTTAAACAGCAAACCATGATTGCCTTGGACCTGCGGACATGGCAGACAGTGTTAAACAGCAAACCATGATTGCCTTGGACCTGCGGACATGGCAGACAGTGTTAAACAGCAAACCATGATTGCCTTGGACCTGCGGACATGACAGACCGTGTTAAACAGCAAACCATGATTGCCTTGGACCTGCGGACATGGCAGACAGTGTTAAACAGCAAACCATGATTGCCTTGGACCTGCGGACATGGCAGACAGTGTTAAACAGCAAACCACGATTGCCTTGGACCTGCGGACATGACAGACAGTGTTAAAAAGCAAACCATGATTGCCTTGGATCTGCGGACATGACAGACAGTGTTAAAAGAAAACCATGATTGCCTTGGACCTGCGGACATGACAGACAGTGTTAAAAGCAAACCATGATTGCCTTGGACCTGCGGACATGACAGACAGTGTTAAAAAGCAAACCATGATTGCCTTGGACCTGCGGACATGACAGACAGTGTTAAAAGCAAACCATGATTGCCTTGGACCTGCGGACATGGAAGACAGTGTTAAAGAGCAAACCATGATTGCCTTGGATCTGCGGACATGACAGACAGTGTTAAAAGAAAACCATGATTGCCTTGGACCTGCGGACATGACAGACAGTGTTAAAAGCAAACCATGATTGCCTTGGACCTGCGGACATGACAGACCGTGTTAAAAAGCAAACCATGATTGCCTTGGACCTGCGGACATGACAGACAGTGTTAAAAGCAAACCATGATTGCCTTGGACCTGCGGACATGGAAGACAGTGTTAAAGAGCAAACCATGATTGCCTTGGATCTGCGGACATGACAGACAGTGTTAAAAGCAAACCATGATTGCCTTGGACCTGCGGACATGACAGACAGTGTTAAAAAGCAAACCATGATTGCCTTGGACCTGCGGACATGACAGAGAGTGTTAACAAGCAAACCATGATTGCCTTGGACCTGCGGACATGACAGACAGTGTTAAAAGAAAACCATGATTGCCTTGGACCTGCGGACATGACAGACAGTGTTAAAAGCAAACCATGATTGCCTTGGATCTGCGGACATGACAGACAGTGTTAAAAGCAAACCATGATTGCCTTGGATCTGCGGACATGACAGACAGTGTTAAAAGAAAACCATGATTGCCTTGGACCTGCGGACATGACAGACAGTGTTAAAGAGCAAACCATGATTGCCTTGGATCTGCGGACATGACAGACAGTGTTAAAAGCAAACCATGATTGCCTTGGATCTGCGGACATGGCAGACAGTGTTAAAAGAAAACCATGATTGCCTTGGACCTGCGGACATGACAGACAGTGTTAAACAGCAAACCATGATTGCCTTGGACCTGCGGACATGGCAGACAGTGTTAAAAAGCAAACCATGATTGCCTTGGACCTGCGGACAAGGCAGACAGTGTTAAAAAGCAAACCATGATTGCCTTGGACCTGCGGACATGACAGACAGTGTTAAAAAGCAAACCATGATTGCCTTGGACCTGCGGACAAGGCAGACAGTGTTAAACAGCAAACCATGATTGCCTTGGACCTGCGGACATGACAGACAGTGTTAAAGAGCAAACCATGATTGCCTTGGACCTGCGGACATGACAGACAGTGTTAAAAAGCAAACCATGATTGCCTTGGACCTGCGGACATGACAGACAGTGTTTTAAAAGCAAACCATGATTGCCTTGGACCTGCGGACATGACAGACAGTGTTAAAAAGCAAACCATGATTGCCTTGGACCTGCGGACATGACAGACAGTGTTAAAGAGCAAACCATGATTGCCTTGGATCTGCGGACATGGCAGACAGTGTTAAACAGCAAACCATGATTGCCTTGGACCTGCGGACATGACAGACAGTGTTAAAAGCAAACCATGATTGCCTTGGACCTGCGGACATGACAGACAGTGTTAAAAAGCAAACCATGATTGCCTTGGACCTGCGGACATGGCAGACAGTGTTAAAAAGCAAACCATGATTGCCTTGGACCTGCGGACATGGCAGACAGTGTTAAACAGCAAACCATGATTGCCTTGGACCTGCGGACATGACAGACCGTGTTAAAGAGCAAACCATGATTGCCTTGGACCTGCGGACATGGCAGACAGTGTTAAAAAGCAAACCATGATTGCCGTATCATGCTTGTCGTAAGAAGCTCATGATGTCAATCACAGCCATTTAGCTTGAATATTGCTGAGAGCGGCATTAAACAACAAACAAACAAACATGAGAGTGAGTGAGTGGGAGTGAGTGAGAGCGTGAGCGAGCGAATGAGTGAGTCCCCATAATGAAGTAAGTATTGTCAGGACCTATTATCATCTAGTCTCTCAAATGAACATATTTTACAGAAAAAAAACAGTTGTTAAATTACAATTATGAAATATAATAAAAAGGAGCCCACAGACTTTCTTTCTTTATTTTCAGATACTGCATTAATTTAGACTTGCATGGGCTGTATTGGATATATTCGTTTATTTCTTAAATGAGATTTCAACATTATGTACAGCCTTTTTGAGGATGGTAAAATGTACAAGCTTAAAAAGATTTACCCGTATTTAAATAATGATGACTCCTTGAATGCATTTGACCTCGTCAATGTCAGACATGTCATTTTATGAAAAGGAGGGTTAAGTTTGGTATTTCTTGGATATTCTCACAAATTTCACCTCAATTATCTGTACCTTTTCTCCAATTACGGACTGTGATATCTCTCCTACTTTTGGATGCAATTGCTCGACCATGTATTTATCTACGTTGCCCAGCTACATCTATGGGGAACAACTCACCAGACACTGAAATTGGGTTTAACGGCGCGTTCAAGATTATTGCACTTATATTGCGACGTGTATGTACGTGTGTGTGTGGCTGCTTGTACTAGTCCGGACTGATGCCGATTAATGGTGCTAGCTCACTGAGATACCATGCCTCAGATTAACATGAGTACCCCACTCAGACACTCACTGCCGAGCGCCAGCGAGGGTTACAACAAGTACCATCTTTTAACGCCTTATCTTATTATTACGCGGCCGGGGATTGAACCCCAGACCTTCCGCTCTCCGGGTGGACGCTCTAACGCTTGACCACTGAGGTGGTCTCGTCCAAAATATGACGTCACAAGTCTCATCATACAAAGGAATGCCCACCTGGAATTCTCTGTCCTTACAATGTCTTGTTTATACCAAGAGCCCCCTCAGGTTTTCCCCAACAGAAAATTAGTCCCAAGCGACCTATACTGGTTCCTCGGGGTGACAAATGATCGATGGTGCTGCTTATGGTTTGGTTGATGGTGGAACGATGCTCACAACATCAACCACTGGATTACCTTGTTCAGACTTAATTATTTACAGGACGCCATCATATAGCTGAACATTGCTGAGTGTGGCGTTAAACAAAAAAAAAAAACACAGCTGAAGTGAGAGTTCAAGAAGCCCACCTTCCTCCAGCTGAGCGATGGCTCCGGGGTACCGGTGGCGGAACACGGCAGTACGACAGACTGCCCTGGATTCTTCTGGTAGAGAGGTCTCGGACGGAGGATGAAGTACGGAGGGTCTGAAATTACAACACACTTACTGAAAAACAACACAACAACAGCAGCAGTGTACACATCATTATACTGCAAGAGAAAACGTAACTGTGGAAATACGTCACACCATATTTCCTCTAATAGACGCATCCGGCATTTAATGGGTTTATTCTAGTTCTAGTCACTATTTAACAGATTGTTTATGAATACACTAGTTAGTTTCTAAATTTGGATAATCTGTCTTTCTCATCCTCCCAAAGCAAGGGCGTTAACCGACTATAAAAGTCCAGTTTCTACCCATGCCAAACTAGGCTGGACATCTAGAGTTTCAAGTTGGCTGGACTAACGAGTCAATACGTAGTCAAATCAAAATCGCTAAAAACTGGACATCTGGTTCTTAAACAACATGGATTTCAATGTGCAGATTTTGGTCGACTGCAGGATTTGCAAAGCATGTGTACTGTCAATTGGGCATAAACAGATATTTTGCACATATTTTTATGTTTTTAATCAAGGTGCTCACATTATTTTATACATTTCGCAAAGTAAGAGCCGTCTTTTTACAATAAAGATCTTGATTAGCAATCAGATCGTCTTGACTGGGCGCTGCAATTTCATTTGAGCAAATGCAAGCGATGGAATCTGATTGGTCAATAGGAGAGACATAGGATGGACATAAATCGTAATAGCAACTGGTGGCGCTACGATCGAGCCTGGAAATTCAAGCGTAGTTCGGCAAGAGTGGAAACTGGACTCAAAATAGTCAGTTAACGCCCTTGATTAAGGAAGATGGTCCGTCTAACCTCAGCATGTGAAAGACCATGAGCTTTGTTCCCTAAAACGATCTTAGCACTATGACAATCATACCTCCACGTTAAAGTATTGAGTCATGATTGTTTTCGTGCATTGATCACTTTGAGGAATGAGACTCCGGTGTCTACTGGAAATCCGGGCCCTACTTACTAATCTGGTGTTGACCCACATAATTGAGGACCTGTATCTATATGGGGAAATATGGTATTACTATTCCATTGGTAATTATTTCTGATATCACACAATGGAAACAATAGTGTCGAACCTTGTTGTGTCGAACTTGTGGGGAGCTGGTAAAAAAACTGAGCTATCCAGGGTCTGAGACATCAGGGGAACTTAATGCTTAATTTGGATACTTGAGACTCCCAAATGAGTTCGAGACAACCAGGATTTTGACACATCCTAAGATGGATACAAAAAGGTAGTTTGAAAGAAAAAGAAAGAGGATTAGGCTTTAATGTCTTTAAATATAATAAAAATCTCATTCAATGCACAAAAAATATAGACCAAGAGCAGGAATAGGTAATAGGTAAATAATGAACACTCCACTCAGAGCACAATCCTAAATCTGAAGCTGCTCTCTCTAAAACTTACCTGCAAGATGCTATGTTTAAGATGAAATATTCATACCTGTATATTGTTGGAAAGAGTATTAACATAGTAGATTGATGCAGTTACCCCAAGATTACTTTAAGCACATCTGCAATTTCCAACCTTTTTGCTTGTGAGTGAGTGAGTTGGGTATCGCCGTTTTTAACAGTATTCCAGTTACATCACGGCGTGTCAGCTTAATGTGGGAGGAAAGCCCCAAGTGATGCAGGTCTCAGACGTTTACCACTTCAGTTACACCCACGAACACGGGTATGGTACTGACAATCCTAGAAACCTAATCGGGGTGAACCGGGATTCGAACCCACAATCTGGCGTGCCCAAGGGGCGCAATTCTGCACAGCGAATCGCGGCATGTAGACGACTGGGCCACCCGTGCCCCTTTTTGCTTGTGTGGTTGTACTGCTACACATGTTTATAAATCTTTAAAGATTGTCTAAAGAACGACAATGCATGATGATTGTAAAGCAGAATGCTGATGATTTCAATGCTGTAGAGATTAAAATGAGATGACAGGAAGAAGTCCACTGAAAAAAATCAGAATGAGTGGAGAGAAATAACAAAGAAATGAGGGAGATTGAAGGCAAAAATAACATTTGCAAGAGGCTCAACATGAAGAAAGGGGGCGCATTTAGACAGATTTCTGAGGCCTCTCTTAATGCCTTTGTCTACAAATTCCTGTTTGTTAAAAGAGCTGAAGTGTCAGTGGTCAAAACAACTTGCCAGAATCGTGATACTGGGATAACTTATCAAGATGAGAAATGGCGGGCATTTGCAACATAGCATTTTAAAAACGCAGGATAAAAAAAATGGCAACTGCTTTGAAACTACAGAGCTGCACCTACCATCTTATAAATAACGACTTATCTTCAAATAAAACAATTTCCTCGACAGAAAGTACTGACAGTACTGTACCCGAAGCTAGGGTACAACGCAAGAGTTCAAACTGACGTGAATTAACAGATATAACCTAGCTATGAAAGCAAGGGTGACCACTCCAGTTGGAAGCATTGCACACAGGATATAGGTGGCGTTACAAGACGTTACAATGCACAACAGACAAAGTAGGTGGCGCTTCTTACCCGGTACATCTGTGTCACAATATGGAAGCGTTAATACAAAATAGTCATCAATGACTCACATTTGCAGGTCACAAAGGTATCACAACATGTCCTGAGGATCACACGAAAATATCAGTGTCTGTCTGTGTGTCTAGCACATGCTCTCAGCCGACTTGGGTGAGAAATAAGGACCCACCTACATAGCTAAAGCATGCAACACACGGTGACAAACCATCTTGTATGAAAGTGAAAAGATCAAATTGAAGACTAGCTAAGTCCTATGACTGTTGGTCAGGCATAACAGTGCTGTACTGTGAAATTGTGAAATGACTTCTAAAACTATCATAAGTCTGGTGATCCAACAGGTGGGAAAATATTTACCATGAATATTTGAAAAGAAAATATCAATTCATAGATCATCATTCATATGAAATGAGATTAATCCCTATTTTAATCGGAACTGAATTTAACTATGAGGGATTAACACTTTCGGAATGTCTACTCAACAAGATAAATCTCTCCAAAAGTCAACATTAATTTATATCCATACTTTTTTTAGTTTTGCTCACATGATTGTTAGTGACAAATCTATTAAAAGGGAAAGTATTTGTGCTAAAATCCATCAAGGATTGAAGTTTATTTTTCCAAAACCTGATTTCAGATACAAAAACGCTTGATCATGTGTCCAAATCTGGTTAGAATGGATTCTGGTTTTTAAATTATAATGGAAACGATGTAATCAGTGCTTGTTTTGATGAAACTTGGAACGGAACAGGCACAACATCCACATGCTCCTAACATGCTCTGGAACAATCTATGTAAAAGAGCATCATTAAAAGTCTACGTTTGCATTAGTGACGCAATCAGCTTTACGGAAACCCTTTGACCTTGTAACATCAGTGACAACCAGGCTGTTCAGAAATATATAAAAACTACAAATATTTATTTTTCATATACACACCTCAAAACTAACATCTGAAACCGTTATCAAAATTTCTTTGATACAAATCTTATCTGAGCTCATTGTGGGAAATCATATTTAAAAAGAAGAAAAAATCCTGTCATCACACAATCACTGAAATGACAAAACTTATTCTGGTGCAACTTAAAATTTCACGATTTGTACTAAATATGTATCATGCGAGTCTAGGACGACTACCTTCCAGCTGCATTCCAACTGCCGATACTTACAATGTTGTATCTCACCTCTAACAATAACCTGCACGTGTGGCGACGTCTCCCCGCGACCCAGCAGACTGACCGGGGTGCAGCTGTAGCTGCCACTGTCCAGCAGCGTCACGTTACGGATCACAAGCGTGCCATTGGTCAGAATAGCCATACGGTTCGTGCCGTCCAAGATCATGGCATCCTTCGTCCATATCGTCGACGTCATCGAAGGATTGGCATCAACTGGACAGTCGATCTTTTCACGAAAACCTTTAGCCCATGTTAGCTGGCTTGGCATGGGAAGAACCTTTGGAAAATCTGAAGAAAAGTAATTGTGACATCGAAACTCATTAATACAGTCTCACATCAATAGATTTACTAACACATAAAACATGCAGGAAATTCAAATACATGGTAAGGGAAATAACTCTTGAGAGAGAGGGCCTTTTTTTCACACTAAGGAGTGAGTGAGTGAGTGAGTGTTATGGTTTTACGCCGCTTTTAGCAATATTCCAGCATATCACGGCGGGGGACACCAGAAATGGGCTTCACACAATCGAACCCGGGTCTTCGGCGTGACGAGCGAACGCTTTAACCACTAGGCTACCCGACCGCCCCACACAAAGGAGTGAGAGAGTGAGTATGGTTTAAGCAATATTCCGCCGGGGAACGCCAGAAATGGGCTTCGCACATTGTGTCCATGTGGGAATCAAACCCAGGTCTTCGGCATGAAAAGCGAACACTTTAATTACTGGCCACCCCACCACCCCTCACACAAAGGAAGAATGGATAGACGATGACTGTGGATTGGTGAGAAATATGGACACTTAGATGTTATAAAATTAAAGAATCATATTTGACATACATTTGTAGAAGTAGGAATAAATATTTAGAGAATCTCACCAAGTGTCTTCTGAAATCAAATGCATTAACACGAGAGTTGAAACATTCGATCTCAATGGCATGAGGGTGGGATTCTAAAGATTCTTTCAACTTTTTCAGCTTGAAAACAGTAATAACAAGTGTTAAATGTACAGCTAACCAGCTTCAGTGGCAGAGAGATTAGTGATGTCATTTGACTGTGATGTCATGGTAACAGATGATGTCACAATGGTCGAAGCATTGTGATGCAGTTTCTGTGTAGCAATACATCTCCTCGGAAAATTATCACTTGATTTCATCCAAGCAATATCTCCTGTGGAAGCCAGTGTTGGGTGATATAACGCACTATACTACCTGGAGTAAAGATCGAGGTGGTGTGATGACTTATACACGAGATATTTTCATGAAATTGTGTGCTAAGTCTTTACTACAAAAAAGAATCCCCAAAAATATTACCGGTAATGATCCTTAACCTTTTCAGTTCAGTATAAAAATTTCAAGCATCGCACATTGTACAGGACAATTTGTTAGCCCTGTTGTTACAGAGCATATTTGTCACACCGAAGCCCCGGGTTCGACAGCCCAGATTGGTTTGTTTGTTTGTTGTTTAAAAAATGCTGCACTTAGCGATATCCCAACAATATGACATCACGCTGTAAATAATTGCGTTGGGACCAGACAATCCAGTGATTGACATCATGAGCATCGATCCATGCAATTGCATCAACAAGGTCAGTGAGGCTGACCACCCAATCCCGCTAGTTGCCTCTTATGACAAGCATGGTCGCCTCTTACGGCAAGTATGGGTTGCTCTACTCTACCCCGGATCTTCACAGGTCCAGTTTGGTAGAATGTGTGAAGAACAATCCAAGCGTTCCTCACGATGATATTGCTGGAATATTGTACTAAACACTCCACTCATACATTGTCAACTCACATGTAACATTGAGATATGCCGATGCTTCATCTTCTCCGATGCCGTTGCTAGGGCGACACATGTACCAGGCCATGTCATCTTTGATGACGGAGGAGATGAGTAGGCTCCCATCCAGACTGATGCTGATCCGGCCCACCTGGAAGCCTGGCAGAGTCTCCACGTCAATGCCCTCCTTGAACCAGCTGTACGTGATGTTGTTGGGGTAGGCCTCTGCACCACACGAAAACTTTATCCTTTGTCCTTCGATGGCGGTGAGGTTGTGGGGCAGTACCATGATGTAGGGGCCGCCTGAAACAACATCAACACAGTCAGCAACATCAACACATTCAGCAACATCAACACATTCAGCAACATCAACACAGTCAGCAACATCAACACATTCAGCAACATCAACACATTCAGCAACATCAACACATTCAGCAACATCAACACATTCAGCAACATCAACACATTCAGCAACATCAACACATTCAGCATCATCAACACATTCAGCAACATCAACACATTCAGCAACATCAACACATTCAGCAACATCAACACATTCAGCAACATCAACACAGTCAGCAACATCAACACATTCAGCAACATCAACACATTCAGCATCATCAACACATTCAGCATCATCAACACATTCAGCAACATCAACACATTCAGCAACATCAACACATTCAGCAACATCAACACATTCAGCAACATCAACACATTCAGCATCATCAACACATTCAGCAACATCAACACATTCAGCATCATCAACACATTCAGCAACATCAACACATTCAGCAACATCAACACATTCAGCAACATCAACACATTCAGCAACATCAACACATTCAGCAACATCAACACAGTCAGCAACATCAACACAGTCAGCAACTACTCATGCTACTGACACATTCAGCAACATCAACACATTCAGCAACTACCATATATCGCTGTGTATAAGGCGAGTTTTTTGTACCTAAAATGAGGGGGCTAAGAAGGGGGGTCGTCTTATACACGGAGTCGAAGATCTCACATTTTTTTCCACTGGCGATGTCAACCGGCGTCAGATAGCCAGCCCAGCATTTGACAATAACACTTCGCATTTCGTCCTAAATAACTGTTCCAATAACTATTTCCATACATAAACATGATTTGTATCTCTTTTCCTTGAATAAAGTTTAATAATTTCTGCAAATAAAGTTGAAATGACCCTCGCCTCGATGCAGATTGGCAAACCACCTGACACGGTAAAACAATCAACATCCGTGAGTAGAGAGCCGGAAGTACCGGTAAGCATTTGCATATTGCCCGGTACTGACACATTACATGGACGGGAAAACAGAATCATACAGTAGAGTCCAACTGGTGGTAGGGTCTCATTTCCACTATCAGGTCTTGTAGACTCCGATATGATTCATACCCTACCTGGCTCAGGGTATGTGCATGGTATGATACATGTCACACTATCTGATCACACGTATCACAACATCGTGTCAAGGATATGATACATGTCGCACTATCTGGTCAAGGGTATGACACATGTCACAATATCCGGTCAAGGGTATGACACATGTCACAATGTCAGGTCAAGGGTGTGACACATGTCACAATATCTGGTCAAGGGTATGACACATGTCACAATATCTGGTCAAGGGTATGACACATGTCACAATACCTGGTCACACATATCACAATAACTGGTCACAGATACAGTGAATCTATCTGCGACTATGTTGGGAAAAGTAAGATGGCTGCATCGGAAACAACAACAGAATGAGTTTACAACTGCAAAACCTATTTCTAAATACTGTTTCACATGGTGAGATTTACTCCACCCTTACATTTGAGTCCTACACATACTGCAGCAGCCTATCAAGTGTAAATATTATTTCTTTCATTTGAAGGATGAATTAGAAGGAAATTACTTTCTCCTAGCGGTGTGTAGCGTTAATGTAAGTGAGTAGTCCGCCCCGCTAGGTGGCGTTAAACTGGGGTACTTAAGGAGTGTGAAGATTTGAATTGTTCATTCTCGCTCTAAGTGCAAGCACGGCCATTGGATTATTCTATTTCTCGGCCGTGCAACGCACAGCGTGTTCCATTCTTAAGAGTGTTGTTGTAATGTTGTGTAACTGTTGGGCATAGGAGAAATACTTCCACACATAACGTGGCAGTCAGGGGAAATAACTCTTCAAGGTCTGAGTATATGAGGGGTGGGTTATTCTTCACTGTCACAGCATGGGTCTTGATTTACTGATAGGGGTGGTGGGTACCTGGAGCTTAATGAGTTTGTTCGTCACATCGAAGACCCGGGTTCGATTCCCGACATGGGTACAATGTGTGAAGCCCATTTCTGGTGTCCCCCGCCATAATATTGCTGGAATATTGCTGAAAGCAGCGTAAAACCACACTCACTTATCGTACTTATAGTTACAAGCATTACCAGTCCTGTCAAATATCAAAATAATAAGTTCCAGTAAATCCTTGAAACAAACGGGACACTCATTCGGAGTCATTCCTGTAAACCTGTGGCAGGCACCTAATGTCCTGGGATATTAGGGCTGGGACGGGTAACTCGGGTACTCGGGTCGGGTGGGTCCCGAGTAGACAATGGTAGAACCACAGGACTACTCGGACCCGTGGTTAGTTATGTGATGTATTATATACTTCAGTGTGAAAGACTGAGTTTTTATTTTCTGAAGTTGAGAAAAGTGATATTTTCACTGCAGTGAACATAACACTTGATATTTCACTGCAGTGAACATAGCACCTGATATTTCACTGCAGTGAACATAACACGTTGACGGAACTATGTTGGCCTACACGAGACAGCTCGTACACAAACTGTTGATTTACGTCAGTTCAACGTTGACAAGTCATATAATGACAGATGATCATTTATGTAGTTAATACCGATTCTTACCGTTTGTTATTTTGTTGAAAATGATTTGTATTAAACTGTGAATTTCTCTTCTGATTTGTCAGTCGATACTTTACGTTTCGCAAAGCGCCATTTTGTTACTTGAATTGCGTGTATTCTTTCACTTCGAACAACCATCTCATTGATTTGAAATTTATTTTTTGATGAAGTTGATTTTGTATATAATCATATCCAAATTTATATTAGGGCTGGGATGGGTAACTCGGGTACTCAGGTCGGGTGGGTCCCCGAGTAGACAATGGTAGAACCACAGGACTACCCGTACCCGTGGTTAGTTATGTGATATATTATTTCATGACAAAAAATCACTACAGCTCATGGTAACCAATGATGTCACAATGGTCTGCAAAGCATTGTGATGCAGTTTCATTGCAGCAATATCTTGAAGATATTACTTGATATCTCCTGTGAGAGCCAGTTATGGATGATAAAGAGGGTTCATCACTCACTGAATGTCGGTGGTATCTATGTAACAAATGACATGTCTCACCAACAGGACACGACAACCACGAGATGGATGTGTATCTAAAATATACAGGCATTCCTCCATTGTTATCCTGACCTCGGACATTCCACACATAGTCATACTCTAGGCTTGTGTAGACCTGGGTTAGAATCTGTCTTCAGCAAACCACCTTGTCGTGAGAGGTGACTGACGGGATTGGGTGGTCAACTCACAGACTTGGTTGATCCATGCCATCTTACCCAATTGCGTAGATCGATGCTCATGATATCAACCACTTGTTTAATGGTTTAATGTGGGAGTAGAGTCGCAACACAGCTGCTGCTTTAAACAATGAAAACAAACCTGTTGAATTAAGTTTTGTTTGTTTGTTGTTTAACGCCGCACTCAGCAATATTCCAGCTGTATGACGGCAGTCTGGACCTGTCTAGACAATCCAGTGATTAATATCATGAGCATTGATCCGCACAATGCAGATCGATGAGATGCATCAACCAAGACAGCGAGCTTGACCACCCGATCCCGTTAGTTGCCTCTTATGACAAGCATAGTTGCTTTATAAGGCAAGCATGGGTTGCTGAAGACCTATTCTACCCCGGATCTTCACGGGCAAGTGAAAAAAGTTGTGACCTTATAGGCGGATGAAGCTTACTGAAGTGTAAAACACTCATTCCAAAAGATAGAACATGCAAAAGTGTGTTTTTAGACAACCTGATCCTTTGGCATGCAACTCCAACCTGACGCATTTCTAAAGGGTTCCCACGTTATCATACAAACAATAATATTATTATACAAACAATTATAATAATATTCAAAACGAAAGTCCAACACTGAAAATGACCTTTCAAATTTTCCAGGGATAAAAACAATCATAGTTATTCAGGAATTGCCACAAAAATCTAATATTTACAAAACATGTCAATCATGACAAGGAGATGAACATAGATTACTGTAAGCAGCTATTGGGGCCTGCCCTGATAATCGGGTTAGGAACCATCCCCTTGCTGTGGAAAAGTTTCAAGTGTCTTTATTAAGATAATATTATTTAAAAAAACGCTATTAAGATAACATTAAGAACATAACATCCCATCATTCCTTTAAGTAGCTGGAATGATCTTAATTTATAATGAAGTACTCAAGAGCTTAACTGGTACAATTTTCCTATCCTTCTGACACATCACCACCACCACCATCATCATCGTCATCATCGTCATCATCATCATCATCATCATCATCATCATCACCATCGTCATCATCATCACCACCACCATCCTCATTTATTTTTACACAAAACATGTCATATAGTTGACACTTAAATCATGCCTCATCCCCAGTGATTAAGTTACCACACAACCAAGGCAACTTTGACTTTGTAAATCTTTCACTGATTATCCTTTCCCTACAACTCTGACGAATCACTTACACTTCAAATTTAATGCCCCTCAACCCATAGAAAATGAAACCCAACACACCAAAAGATCACAAAAAGAAAATATTCTAATAATCCCGTCTAAAGTCCCTGTGAAGTGGCCTGACAGTCGAGTGTAACAGTTGTCAATGAAGTGAACACAATATCTATCCCCTGGCTTTCAATGCACTAGCCGGTTCCCATCTTGACATACAAGCCCTGTACAAAGGCTGAAGACAGTGAAACGCTCACATACACCCAGTCTTCACAACGCCCGTGTGTACTTGTGTTCATGCAAAGACTTCACAGGCAGCTCGGGACATTGAACAGTGCAAAAAATGTAGTCAAATACACCCTATCTGAAGGCCATTCCGAAGTGATTGGCTTCTAATTCACATTAAATTAACATCACTAATCTCTCTGCCACTGAATCTGGTTATCCGTACATTTCACACACAAGGAGATGATTATTAATGTTTACAAACTGAAAAAGGATT